AGAGATCAACAGGTAATGGGGCTACATTTCAAATGTCCTGGCTTCTACAGTCTTCGCCTTTGCGTAAAAGACCCAGAGGGAGATTTCAAAGCTGAGCAGAAACAGCATTTTCTTGTGCAAATGTGCTTGTGTTTAATAGGTCTGGTCAGGTGGGGTCAGAGGCGAGCACTGGCATCATCCTCACTGCTGCCACTTCTTCCTTCCTCAGTGACTGCTGGCACTTTTTGGTGTGTTTCTTGTTACCATGGTGAGAACATGTCCCTGGCCAGAGCTGTCATCAAGTGTTTTGTTTTTTAAAGATTTATTTATTTATTTTTAAAGATTTATTTATTTATATAAGAACTGGGGTACAGGCCAGATGTGTGGGAAGGTAAGAGAATTCACCAGAGACAGAGCGGGGAACAGAACAGGCAGACTGACCAAAATACATTGCTGAGGGGAGCAGCAGTCAGGACAGGTCTGCTGTACCATATGGGTTGCTCCCTGGCCGGGAATCGAACCCGTGCTGCAGAGGGTGCGGACAGCTTCACAGAACTGTGCTCAACCCACTGTGCCACCAGGGAGGACCAACTTTATGAGATTTTTTAAAAAAATATTTATGCATACAAGAGTTGGGGTACAGGCCAGAGTTACAGGGGGGTGAGAGGATTCACCAGAGACAGAGTGGGGAACAGAACAGGCAGACTGACCGAAATACACTGCTGAGGGGAGTAGCGGGCGATACAGGAGAGGTCTGCTGCGCCATGTGGGCAGCTCCCTGGCCAGCCTGAGGGTGGAACTTGTGCTGCAGAGGCTGTGGATAGCTTCATAGTGTTGTGCTTAACTGCTTGCGCCACCAGGGAGGCCCTTAAGAGATCTTTTTTTTTTTTTTTTTAAGATTTATTTATTTTTATATAAGAACTGGGATACAGGCCAGATGTGCGGGAGGGTGAGAGGATTCACCAGAGACAGAGCAGGGAGCAGAAGGCAGAAGGATCGAAGTACACTGCTGAGGGGAGCAGTGGGGTAGACAGGAGAGGTCTACCATGCCATATGGGAATCTCCCTGGCCGGCTGGGAATCGAACCCACGCTGCAGAGGCTGCGGACAGCTTCACAGTGCTGCACTCAACCTGCTGCGCCACTGGGGAGGTCCCCCTATGAGATCTTAATATAGTGCTCTCATGAGAAAGAAGGAGCCAAACATTGGAGTCTTGACTACCTGGGAAAGGCTGAGCTGAAGCATCTGCCTCCTGAGATTTACTCCGGCCTTCTAGATTGCAGTCCCTCTGTAGCTTCACGGGGCACACAAGCATGTCCCTTTTGGGATGACTATTGTGAAGATCAGGAACAGCACGGTGTGGTCAAGTGTACAGATACACATTCCTAGCTGAGTCTCTGGTTCAGTCCCGGTGTGCCAGGGCTCAGAGACTCTTCATAAAATGACCTCAGTAAATGTTCAGGTGTTAGGGATACCGATGCACAAACTGTGGGGTAGGTGGAAGCATAATGGACAAATGGAGACCGAATGGTTGGACACATGGTTAACCTGATGCCTATGAATGAAACGACAGTGAGGCACATGAGTTAAAAGGCAGTTTGGGGTCCCCGGGGGAGGATAAGACAAGAAGCAGTAAAATCACTTGATGTTCAGCAACTGAGTGATTATCCCAAGTTATAAGGGAAGACACTCATTTGACTTGTGCACAGAAGGAGAAGTGACAGGTGCTGTTAAGGAGAAGTGACAGGTGCTGTTTTGGGACTCATTTCTTTGCTTAACTACTACAATGAAGGACAAGAAGGGTGAGGTGCAGGGTCTTTTTTTTTTTTTTTTTGATTTTTGATTTTGATTTATTTATTTAATTAATTTGTTTATGCAAGCACTGGGTACAGTCAGAAGTGCGGAAGGGTGAGAGAATTCACCAGAGCCAGAGCGGGGAGCAGAGCAGGCAGAAGGACTGAAGTACACTGCTGAGGGGAGCAGCGGGCGGCAGGAGAGGTCTGCGCGCCATGTGGGACCTTCCTCCGGTGGCTGGGGAGCAGCCGGGGATCGAATCGGCGCCACAGAGGCCGTGGGGAGCTTCGCAACCCAGCGCTCAACCGCTGCGCCACCGGGGAAGCCCAGGTGCAGGGTCTTATCTCTGCCCTCGCGGGGGAGCCCAGGGCCTGGGAAAGCACATCAAGGTTTCAGACTTGGGCAGAAGTAAGAGGTCCAGCTTGTGTCTTGTGTCCTGGGCTCCTGATGGGCCTTTCTTTCTGCAAATCTTTTGGAAGCAACGGGAAGGATGCAAGCTGACTTGGGTTTCCAATGGCTTCAGCTGCTTTTTTTAAAATAAAGGTTTACTTATGCATAACAATAACTGGTGTGTAAGCCAGAGGTGTGTGTGTTGGGGGTGGGGGAGGAGTGAGAGCATTCACCAGAGACAGACTGGAAAGCAGAATAGTCAGATCTACTGAAACATATTGTTGAAGGGAGAAGAGGGCAAGTCAGGAGAGGTCTGCTGCACCATGTGGGTTGCTTCTTAGCCGGGGATTGAACTAGTGCTGCAGTGACTGAGGATAGCTTGATAGTGCTGTCTTTAACCCCTGTGCCACCAGGGAGGCACCTCAGCTGCTTTTTTGCTATAGCACAAAGGCTGCAGACAGTCACTGCAATTACCTTGCTTTTTGCTGAAAAATTAGGAGTACTTGCCCCCCAGTACTGGATATCACAGTGAGAAGATCAGGTTTCAGGCACCACTCAAGTGTGATTTCAGCAGGACTGTCAGGAGGTACCCCTTCCAGGCAACTGGGCTTGCTTGCCCTGCACTGCTGCCTCCTCACCTGTAGATGGTACCTCTGCTGTACCTTGCTGCCTAGGGCTCTGCTGGTGCCTGACTCCTGTGGGCTTGGCTACCTCCAGGCTGTGGGGCTCCTAACCTTGGTTTCCTAGAGTGAGGACCCTGTGCGTTCCTGAGCCCTGTGAGGAAGCAGAGGTGAGGAAGACCTCCCTTGGAGTGTGGGAGGATGACTCTTGACTGATTGCCATTGGACCAGATGGTGCACCCAGTGGTGACCGACTGGAAATGGAGTACTCTTGCTGTTTTGGTTAATTTGGGGTGTGGTGTGAATAAGGCACCAGGTTCATAGGTGGCATCATTTGTCCCAGCTAATTAACTGAAGATTCTGTCCCATCCCAAGTCCTCTATTAGCCACTGAGGGTAAGTCAAGTGACTCAGGCAAGGGGTTACTTCTGGGCTCTGTTCTGACCATGCGTGGAGGCAGGAGTGGCTGGCTCCCAGGAAGACCCGACCATAAATCTTTCACTTACTGATTCTATCAAATTTTTTTCAATGTGCATTCTTGAGCTCTGCAGCTTACTTGTCCTCCCCCTTGTGGATGCAAAAAGTAGGTTAGAAATTGAGGATGTGAAGATGGGATATGAGAAAATATGAAGTGAGGGGATATGGAAGGAATTTGAGTGATATGAGGATATGAATAGGTTAGAGAGAATGAGGTGATGGGGTTTGACAGTGATGATTCTTGAGGGAACATGAGGAGAATTGATGGAATTTGAGGTAATGTGAAGGGGATAGGGGACTTTCGGGGACGGAGCATCTGAGCAAGTGTGGGGAGGCAGTGCTGGTGGTCTAGCATGTGGGCACCTCCAGTTCTGGCTTTCTGCGAACCCAGCAACTTCTAACATGGATGGGAGGTTGTGAGAAGCCCTCATCCCTGTGTTAGGGGCTTATCCTTGCCTCCCTCACTAAGCAGCCTCTGACCAAGATATGAGGTGCACTGAGTATCAGTGTGAGATGAGTTGGGGGTGGTTTGTACCTGTTTGTCATCACTATTTGCTGATAATAGTGAAATTCATAAACGGCCAGCTTCTTACCTCAGAGCAAAGCCATTACTAGTAATCCATTATTCCAGTGACCTTAAATCGTGTATCATTTGAGGTCAATTTCCCCAATTCCAGTTTTCTCTTGTGCCTTGGTGGCACTGAATGTATTCATTTTACATAACAGTACTGTCAAGGGTTTGAGGTAAAGACAATTGAGCACTGGCTGCAGGCTCCTACTTCCCCCATTCAATATTCCTGAAAAACAGCTCTGCATATTTCAAAACAAAGTGGCTCAAACCCTATTAGTTTGAGGGCCTCCCTGGTTGTGCAAGCACTATGAGGATATCAGCAGCACGAGTTCCATCCACAGGCAGGGAGGAGACCCACTTGGCACAGCAGAACTCTCCCGTCTCAACTACTGCTCCCAAGTCTGGTGAATCCTCTTCCCCCTCTCATCCCCGCACCTCTGGCCTACACCCCAGCTCTTGTATGCATAAATAAATGAAATAAATATTAAAAAAAAAAAAACCGAACCGCACTTATTCCTAGTATTTAGTATAGGGGAGCTTTTGTGGCTGTTGCAAGATGGAGGGGATCTGTCTACACTCCCTTCCTCAGCCCAGTAGCAACAGGCAGCACATCTGGTGTGGCCCCTGCGCCTCCACACTCTTCTCAGCAGAACTCAGTCGAGGGGATCCCAGCAAAAGGTTCCTCTCTTCAGCGGCATCTCCCACCGTGACCACAGCCTGAGACATCAACTCGGCTTTAAGAGGCGCCTCTGTTCTAGTAGGGGCCCCTCCTCCCCCAAGCCTGCTGCACTCACAGGAGGGGCGAAGCAGACCCGCCCTGGGGCCCCCTCGGTCCTTGCTCAAAGGCTCCCCGACCCAGGCTGGGCGGGACCTGCTTTCGGTAGGGGCCGCGATAAACTCACCTCTTGACATCTGACCTCCAGGCTGCAGCTCCCCGAGCGACGAGCGGGAGAGGAGGGAGGAAATTGCTTCTCTAGAGACAAACCAAGATCTCCTTTTCCTCATCACCCAGATGCAGTCCTCACGGGCCCGTAGTGCCCGAGGGTTCCCCCCACCGGTCCCCTGCAGCCTCCGCAATCGGCACTGGGCGGTGAAACCCACCCCGGAACAGACCAGCGGCCGGACGGCGCTTAACCGGTGCACAGGCTTGTGGGAAATGTAGTCACGACAGGCTGCGGCGCTTTCCGGCACGGCCTCTGAGAAGGAACTTCCGGTTTCTTGTGCGCAAGTGCAGACCCGCCTCTTCCACTCTCCCGGAAGTTCCGGAGCCGCCGCTCGCGCTGCCGCAGCCGCGGAGTTCTGAGTGAATTGTTGTCTCTGAAGGTGGATGTGAGGTGAATGGGGATAGAGAGGAAGGGTGGGTGAGGGCCTGAGTGCAAGTGTGGGTGTAAGGGAGGCACGTGGCATTGGAACGAGAGCAAAGGAGGGAGGGAGCAGACAGGTGGGTGAGGCACCGGAGCGAGCGGCAGCCTGCACGTCAACACAGGGCTCAGGTCCCTATAATTGGCACTTTTTATGCTTTTCGGTAGTTCTAAGTGTGATTGCGAAATTGTGTTGGTTGTGTTTGTCACGTAATTTAAGAATTTCCCTCATAATTTGTTACCAACGCTGACGGTGGGGATTTACATGGATCCCTTGGCATTTTCTGTGTAAAGATCTGACCCAAATGCACGGGCTTTTGAAATTCACGCCCAAAGCATTTCATTACTGAAAGTTGAATGTTCTGCGTTTGGGGCTTGTTCCTCCCTCCAGCTCCTCTGCTTGTGCAGCAAGGATGACACAGGAGGCTGTAGTTACCTGGTGCCTTGACTGAGGTTGGTTGGGGTAAGAATTTCACTTCCTGTTCGGTGCATTTCTGGTGGCTGTTGCTCAGCCTGTGATGGGCTAACCCCGTGTTTCTTCCCAAGATGACAGTGTTCCCGGAAGGCAGTGTTCCCGGAACCCCTGGGAAATTCCTTTTCATCCTGTGCACATATGCGGTGATTTCCCTTTGTCCAAACAAGCTCAATTTCAAAGTCCAAGTCATTTTCAAAGGGGTTTTATTTTAAGAGGAAATGAGTCCAGGGAAGCAAGTCTCCTGGAACCATTTCTGGGACAGTTTACCCTGAAAATATACATTATGTGCATCATTTTCTGTAAAATTGTGGTGAAAAAAGATCTTAGCATTGAGAAATTTTTAATTCTTAGAATAAACTTGGTAAATTAGGAAATATGGCTTCATAAACTTACGGGTCAACAAAATAGTAAGTCTGAATTATATCATAAATGTACTTGTGGGTCCCCTTCTCAAAGTGTAAATACTATTGTCACTCAGAAGAGTCTTTCTCCTTTGTCTTTTCCAGGTTATGTGCAGAGCACTTTGGACAGGAGACTGTAGAACCTAGGTGTGAGCTACCACACTCCTTTCAATCCTGGACTCCATTTGACTGTCCCAGCTCTACTTCTAGAGTCCTTCGCACATTTCTGAGAGCAGGAGACAATGAAAAAATCTCTAGTGAGTTTTTTTTTTCCTTTAACTTTTTTTACATTGATTTTATATACTTTCTAATATTATAATTAAAATGGGAAAGTAGAAATATGTAAAATTTTGCTTGAAGTAACGTACGCCAACAATATAAAGGTGTCATGTAGATACAGGCAAATCATATATTGGAGGTGAGTGCTAATTGGTTTCTGATCTTCCTTTCTTTTTTTTTTTTTAAAGATTTATCTATTTATGCATACAAGAGCTGGGGTGTAATCCAGAGGTGGGGTGTGGTGGTGGTGAAAGTATTCACTGGAGACAGAGTAAGAAGAACAGGCGGAGAAGAACCGAAATACACTGCTGAGGGGAGCAGCGGATGAGACAGGAGAAGTCTGCTGTACCATGTGGGTAGCTCCCTGGCTGGGGATTGAACTCATGCTGCAGTGGCTGTGGATTGTTTCACAGTGCTGATGCTTAACCCCTTGCACCTCCAAGGAGGCCTCTGGTTTCTGCCCTTTCTAATGCCGAGTTAAAATGTCAGACACTGGTGTTACCTGATCAGAATGAACCCTGGGGAACAGCATGCTGCTTGCTTATGGGACTTGAGCACTTGCAGAGCAGAGTCTGAAACTGGGTCTCTATTGACCACATACATGACGATGTGGATAGTGGCTCTTTACATATCCTGGGGGAAATTCAGCAAGTTGCACTGGTGTTGGTTATCTGTTGCTAAAGCTTAACTTAATAACATTTCTCTGGAGTTGTTAAAACAGTAGTATATCTGGAAAACTGTTGGAACGCCCTCTGATACAGGGATCAATCTAGGAATGTCTATAGTTGCATCCACTGTGGATCTAAAGTCCCTATGCCTTTCTCTCAGCTGTTCTATTTGTACTCAGGCTGCCCAGCAAACTGTTCAATGTTTGGGTTTTTTTGTTTACATTTTAAAATGGCAGATTTATTAAGAAAAGGAGAAAGAAAATTACAGACACTTTGACAGTCTTTGCAAAGGGAAAAGAAATGATTGCATAGTCACAGGGAGGCAGGAGAGCTGCCCAGTGTTTTCTTTTCTGACAAATGTTTTCACTGCTCCTTATCACTTTCATCCACTCAATGTAGTCTTAATTCTTTGTTAGTAAATACTTACTAAGTTACAACAAATCTGTTGACTGTTCCCACCCTTTTTCTTACTCGAAATATCATACAATTATTTGAAAATGCCATCCAGGATCTCCTGGAAATTTCTGTATATTGGCTTATGTCATGGCCTCTCAGATTATTTCTTCTCTTTTGCCTTAAATTCTGTGACTCTTCTGCTCCTGATGGTAGCTCATCTATGTGTTCAATTTGGGTCCCTTTCTTTGAACTGCAGTTCTCCTAGATTGAGTCAGTCTCCTGTGGTTTGACTGTTCCATAAATTATTCTCCAGCTGGTATTTCCTTCCCAGCCTCAGAACCAATTTTATTGTCATCCAGTTAGCACCTCAGGCTCATCCAAAATTAAAACCACATCGTGCATTCTGCGCTTACATATGGAATTATTTCCTTCCAGCCAGTGACTCTAACCAACAGAATGGGATTGCTCCTGGACTTTTCCCTCGTTCCAGTTGAATCTCATCTAATACAAGTCCTGCAATCTTTGTTCTTCAGTATTATCTAACGTTTCCAAGGGTGCTCACAGAAAAACAAAAAAAAAATTCATTTTCTTTTACATTACAATCATCATTCTTGGCAAAACCTGAAGGATGTGTTTGCTCAGTGATCAGGTTGATCCCTCTTTAGCCGAACTGCTGGCCAGTGTGTGGTGACAGCTTGAGGGTACAGTGGGAGAAAGTACTCACGGACATATTTTTTTGGTTGTTACTGTTTTTTAAGATTTATTTATGTGTACAAGAGCTGGGGTGTAGGCCAGAGGTGGTGGTGAGGGTGGGGAGCAGAACAGGCACATCTACTGAAATAAACTGTTGCGGAGAGCAGTGGGGAGACAGTAGAGGTCTGCTGCGCCATGTGGGTAGCTCCCTGGCCGGGGATCAAACTCGTGCTGTAATGGCTGCGGATAGCTTCATAGTGCTGAGACTTAACCCCTTGTGCCACCAGGGAGACCCTCAAGTACATATTTTAAGAAGTGTTGAGAGAAAGACACACTTGCTGAGAGTAAAAATATGGAGCACACATTTTCATCATTTTTAACTATATTTTTTCTAAATTTATGACATTGATTCCAAAAGTAGTTTTTTTTTAATATTTTTTTTTAAGATTTATTTGTTTATACAAGCACTGGGTACTGTCAGAAGCGCGGGAGGGTGAGAGAATTCACCAGAGCCAGAGCGGGGAGCAGAGCAGGGAGAAGGACCAAAGTACACTGCTGAGGGGAACAGCGGGCGGCAGGAGAGGTCTGCGCACCATGTGGGACCCTCCTCCTGTGGCCGGGGAGCAGCTGGGGATCGAACCGGCACCGGGGAGATTTTGGGCAGCTTCGCAACCCAGCGCTCAACCACTGCGCCACCGGGGAGGCCCCCAAATGTAGTTTTTATTAGTAAATATTTGTGAATTTCTTGCTCAGAAACTACCTTCTAACAATTTCACACTTTTTAAAATTTACATTTTTTTTTAACTGTGCTTTTTAATAAATTAAAAATTAGGGTAGGGTAAAATGGACATGTACAATTACAACTATGATATGGGATAGAATTCTCGTTAATAGTTGGTTTCGGGGGCCTCCCCTGGTGCTGGAGGTGGTTGAGCACAGTGCTGTGAAGCTGTCCGCAGCCTCTGTAGCACCAGTTCAATCCTAGCTGGCCGGCGAGAATCCCATATGGCATGACAGACCTCTCCTTTCTCGCCCACTGCTCCCCTCAGCAGTGTATTTCGTCAGTCTGCCTGTTCTGCTCCCCACTCTGTCTCTGGTGAATCCTCTCACCCTCCTGCACATCTGGTCTGTACCCAGGTTCTTGTATGCACAAATAAATAAATCTTTAAAAAAATAAGTTTCTGTTGTTATGATAAGCGTAACAACCTAAAATTTACCATTTTAGCCATTTTGCACATTTAGTTTTGTGTTGGCGTTCAGTATTTTCAGAATGTTGTGCTACCATCGTGGCCATTCATCCCCAGATTTTTTTCATTTGGAGAAATGAAACTATAATCATTAAATACTACTCCCTCCTCGTTTCCCATTGGTAATCACCTTTTTACTTTCTGCCTCTATGAATTTGATGACTTTAAGAACATCACAGAAGCGCCTCCCTGGTGGTGCAAAGGGTTAAGACACAACCTATGATGCTATTTGCAGCCTCTGCAGCTTGAGTTCGATCCCCAGCCAGGGAGTTGACCCCCATGGTGCAGCAGTCCTCTCCTGTTCCCCATCGTATTTCTGAGCATCTTTCCATTTTCCTTCATGTTTTTTCTTTTTTATAAAGATTAGAAAATATCTGTTCTTTGGGCCTCCCTGGTGGCACAAGGGGTTAAAGTGCAGCACTGTGTACATATTTGCAGCCACTGCAGCATGAGTTCAGTCCCTCACCAGGGAGGTGACCCCCATGGCGCAGCAGACTTCTCCTGTGCTGCCCACTGCTCCCCTCAGCTGTGTATTCCAGTTATTCTGCCTAGTCTGTTCCCCACTCTGTCTTTGGTAATCCTGTCACCCCCTCGCACCTCTGGCCTGTAGTCCCATTCTTGTATGCATAAATAAATCTTCAAAAAAAAAAGAATGAATAAATCTTTAAAAACAGGAAATGAAAAAAGAAAATATCTGTTTTGCTATCATTAGCTTCAGTGACTTTCTTTTGCTATATTAAATCTGATGTTTAGTTCATCAGTAAGTTTTTCATTTTTGTTAAATTAGTTTCCAGTTTCAATTTGGTTGCTTTTCTAGTTTCTTTTTCTCTAACAATTTTTCCATCCTTAATACATTGTTTTTATATTTTCCTTTATGTATTTCAACTTATTATAAATGGTTTAACCGTCCTGTCTGCTACCTGCAGTATCCAGCATACTTTGGTTTTAGTTTCTAAGGACTGTTTTGTAGTTGTTTTCCTTCTTAAATATGAGACACATTTTCCTGTTTCCTTACTTGCATAGGGATTCTGAATTATATCCTGTCCTGGACATTGTCATCATATGTTGCAGAAATTCTGGATCTTGTTATATTCCTGAAGAGTAATTTTGTTTTTAAGGCACGTTAACTTGGTTGGACACAAATTCCACACTTCTTTCCTTGCAGTGATCATTAACTGACTCTCCATTTCGTTTGCTTCTCTTGGTTGCTTCTGTCTTCTGTAGTCTGTCTTGCCTGTATTTATTACAGAGTCATTTTCCCTCCACTGGGCCATTGTTCAGCTTTCTTAAATCTTTTCATCTTTTTACTACCCAACACCAAGTCATTCTTTCAAAATAAGGGTCAGGGCCTCCCTGGTGGCGCAAGGGATTAAACACAGTACTATGAAGCTATCTGCAGCCTCTGCAGCACAAGTTTGATCCCTGGCCGGCCAGAGAACAACCCACATGGTGCATCAGACTTCTCCTGTCTTACCCGCTGTTCCCCTCAGCACTATATTTCAGTCGGTCTGTCTATTCTGTTCCCCATTCTGTCTCCGGTGAATCCTCTCACCCACCTACCCCCCTATCTCTGGCCTGTGTTTATTTAATTTATTAAAATTAAATAAAATTAAATAAATCTTTTTAAAAAAATTATGACAAGGGCCTCCCCTGGTGGCGCAGGCAGTTGAGCACAGCGCTGTGAAGTAGTTCTCAGCCTCTGCAATGCTGGTTCCATCTCAGCCGGCTGGCAAGGGTCCCACACAGTGCAGTGTATTTTATCAGTCTGCCTATTCTGATCCCCACTCTGCCTCTGGTGAATCCTCTCACCCTCCTGCGCATCTGGCCTGTACCCTAGTTTTTGTATAAATAAATGAATAAATCTTTAGAAAAATAAATAAATAAATAAATAAATAAAAAATTATGACAAAACAAAATATGTAAGCTATAGCTTAGGCTCAGTATAGTTGATTATGTTTTTATATGTCCTGTAAACTCATGGCTTTTTATTAGGAAGTTAATCTATATGTGATGAGCATTGTTATTTTTTTATTTTTTATTTTTTAAAAGATTATTTATACAAGCACTGGGTACAGTCATAAGCGCAGGAGGATGAGAGAATTCACCAGAGCCAGAGCGGGGAACGGAACAGGCAGATTGACGAAACACACTGCTGAGGGGAGCAGTGGGCACGGCAGGAGAGATCTGTCGTGCCATGTGGGACCCTCGCCAGCAGCCAGGGATCAAACCGGCGCTGCAGAGGCTGCAGGCAGCTTCGCAGCCCCATGCTCAACCGCCGTGCCACCAGGGGAGGCCATTATTTTCTTTTTGACTTTGCTTCTGGACTCTTATTTTTGTAGTAAGAAGATATTTAGCATTCAGATTTTCCTTCTTTTTAACCCCAGTCTACATTCAACATGTTTTTGACATAGTTCCTTTAACACATTATCCCAGGTATGTGTTTATACACATGTCTGCAAGCCAGATTATAATCTTATTCAGCAACAGAGTTATGTTCTTTTTTTTTTCATTATTTTCATGATTTATTTATTTATTTATTTATGCAAGAACCCGGGTACAGGCCAGATGCATGGGAGGGTGACAGGATTCACCAGAGACGGAGCGGGAAACAGAATAGGCAGACTGACGAAATATACTGCTGAGGGGAGCAGTGAGCGTGACAGGAGAGGTCTGCTGCGCCATGTGGGACGCTCGCTGGCCGGCCGGGATTGAACCGGCGCTGCAGAGGCTGTGGATAGCTTCACAGTGCTGCGCTCAACGACCTATGCCACCAGGGGAGACCCTGTTTGTTTTTTTTTTTAAAGATTTATTTATTGTGCCTCACTGGTGTCACAAGGGGTTAAAGCACCACACTATGAAGCAATCCACGGCCTCTACGGCACGAGTTTGATCCTGGCTGGTCGGGGAGATACCCACATGGCGCAGCAGACCTCTCTTGACTCACCACTGCTCCCTTCAGCAGTGTGCTTCGGTCGATCTGCCTGTTCTGTTCCCCACTCTGTCTCTGGTGGGTTCTCTCACCCCCCGTATCTCTGGCCTGTGCCCCAGCTCTTGTGTACATAGATAGATAAATCTTAAAAAAAAAGATTTATTTATTTATGCATAAAAGAACTGGGGTATAGGCCAGAGGTGCGGGGGATGAGAAGATTCACCAGAGATAGAATGTGGAATAGAACAGGCAGATTTACTGAAATACACTGCTGAGGGGAGCAACAGGCGAGACAGGAGAGGTCTGCTTTGCCATGTGGCTAGGTCCCAAGCAAGCCAGGGATCAAACTCGTGCTACAGATTTGTGGATAGCTTCATGATGCTGTGCTTACCACCTTCCCCACCAGGGAAGCCCAGAATTTTTTTTTTTTTTAAGATTTATTTATTTATTTATACAAGCACTGGGTACAGTCAGAAGCGCGGGAGAGTAAGAGAATTCACCAGAGCCAGAGCGGGGAACAGAACAGGCAGGTGGACCGAAATACACTGCTGAGGTCCGCGCGCCATGTGGGACCCTCGCCGGTGGCCAGGGATGGAACCAGCGCTGCAGTCTGCGGGCAGCCTCGCAGCCCAGTGCTCAACCACTATGCCAGCAGGGGAGGCCTGAGACCCAGAATTTTGTTCATTCTGTGTTACATCAACAGCACTGCCAAATTTATAAGGGAAACTGCAAAAGTAATTTTAGGAAGTAATGACAACATAGAGGTAGGATATTTCTTGTGTGAAATCTCTTTATATTGTAATATATACCTCAAAGTATGTTGCATCCTGTATAACAGAAAAGACCTGCAAAAGAATGAGTTCCCCGATCCCCTGTTATGATCCCAGGTGATATCTTTATCCCAGGAAAGACCTGCAAAAGAATGAGTTCCCAGATCCCCTGTTATGATCCCAGGTGATTTTTTATTTTTTTTTAAGATTTATTTATTTATGCATACACGAACTGGGGTACAGGCCAGAAGTGTGATGGAGGGGGGTGAGAGGAGTCACCAGAGACAGATGGGAGCAGAACAGACAGATCTACTGAAATACAGTGGGCAAGTGAGAAGACGTCTACTGCACCATGTGGGTCACCTCCCTGACCGGGTATCAAACTCGTGCTGCAGTGGCTGCGGATTGCTTCATAGTATGATGCTTAACCCCTTGCACCACCAGGGAGGCCCCCCAGCTGATATCTTGTATTGAGGAGAAATATACCATTACAGGCGATGGTGTCATTCGAGGACGTGGCTGTGAACTTTACCTCGGAGGAGTGGCAGGACCTGGATGATGCTCAGAAAATATTATACCGGGATGTGATGCTGGAGACCTACAGTAGCCTGGTGTCTTTGGGTACGCACAGTTCCACTATAATAGTCATGTGCAAGTACTGTTGTTTTCACTGGTAAATGTACAACTTTTTATGAAGTTAGTACTACTTACATTTTATTATGAAAGCAAAGAATATTTGCTGATCTAATCAAAGGTTTACATTATTCCTCATTGCATAGCTCTTAAAGCTGTACTAATGTCATTTTTCAAAGACAGAAGCTTAATTACTTTTGGTCATAGGCCATCATTATTTCTCATCACAGGTCATTGTACTAACAAACCTGAGGTGATCATGAGGTTGGAGCAAGGAGCAGAGCCTTGGACTACGGAAGAACCCCCAAACCAGAGCCTCTCAGGTCAGTCAGTGCATACTGGTTTGGGAGGCTGGGAGGAGGAGAACCCAGCAGGTGCTGGCCATACTGAACTACTTTCCCTGATAGTCAGACCTTAAGACAACTTGTCTACATGAATCAGACTAATTTATTATTCAGTTTCCAGACATGGTTCATTTGTAAATATGGTCCTCGCTTGCAAATCTTCCCTTGCTTTTTAGTAGTTGTAAATTTTCTCACATTTAACCAACTGCCCCCTCTTGGAACTTCTTCTTGGTTACTCTCTATCAATTCTTTCTTTTACTCCATTCTGCTATACTCTTTATCCAGGCATTTGTTCGTGATTTGTATATTCTTTCAACATGTTAATGGGATGTTTTAGACACTGGTGGTTTCATAGTGTGGGGATAACAGTAATCAATGAAGCAACATTTTATGGGACTTATATCTTACTAAGAGATAAAATGAAACAAATACACATGTTAATTGATAAGAACAGAAAGACTGTTTAACTAGGATGAGAGAGGAAAATGGAGGACATTATTTTAGACCATGTGCTCAGATGACCATAATAGGGAGATTAAGTGTTTACATTGTAGAGATTACATTTGTGATAATTTTTACATTTTGAATAGTAGTATATATGTGTGAATATACAATCTGGAGTAGAGGTTGGATATCACTATTGGAGAGGCAATTAGGAAATCATTAACTCAAAAATAGTAGGATTAAAGGAAGTTGCTTAGAGAGTTAAGAACATGAATGAAGAGATTCAGAGGTAAGCCTGTGACCCACAATATCAGAATTTGTGAAGCTGAGGAGGACCCAGCCAATTGTTCAGCAGTGAAAGTGGTGGCCTGTGACATGGGAGGAGAAAGTAAAGATGGTGGTTTCCAAAACTATAGAACCAAGTGTTTCATGTTGAGGGACCTCTCATACTTTGGGGATGGAATTTGAAGTTTACAATTATACCTTCTTTTGTGGAAATAATTGTAGAAAAACACTTGGGTCTCCACTTTAAGTATACCCAGGATACAGTTGAAAATCTAAAATATAAAGGTTTTCAGGTACAATGAATTATCAAGTAGGATCATTTGAAGCAAGAATGAGAAGACCAGCGTTCTTCAGCTCACCGGGATGTGGAATAAGGCTTTTTAAAGCTGGTGTGCACAGCAGGGGTTGTAGAATCTAAATCCTTTAGATATAGTGTTTAATTAGGAATTCACAGAAAACTGTCTTATAGAAGACATTTTGCCTTTGAAAAACCCACAGATGCCTACAGCCTTTGCCCAAAGAGAAGTAAAAATTAAACAAATGCAGATGTAAAACTTTTGTCCCTAAACAATATACCCACTTACCTGACAACCTCTCCCCATACACTAAGTAGCAGATCCAGGAAAATCATGTCGTTAACAAACCTTGATTGCACAGAAAAGGACCAGTGCAGATATACACAGTTATCATAGGGGAAAAGTGGGCAAACGAAACGGGTAAAACAGATGGTAGGTGAAATGTTCTCAAACTGCAATCTGTATTTAGAATAGTGAATATATTAACCAAATATTTACCTATGAATTTAAAAATTAAAATGATACTAAAGAATTATTGTCACTTCTTTTTTTTGGTCAATTTGATTTGACATCAGAAAATCTACTAATGTAATTTGTCACATGAGGGAAAGAAATCCTGTATCGTGAAATCAAAATCCATTTTTTTTTTACAGTTGTGTTCTACAATTATACAGTGAAATCTTTTTGGCCTTTACATTAATATTCCACAGGAAATGCTTAGATGTTGTTCATAGAAATGGTTGTTTATTGTCTCATTTTAGATGTCCATACATTGGATGACCTGATTAAGATCAACTGGGAAAACCAGGGTAGAGATTTGTCGCAAGTTCTAGTTACCAACAGCAAAACATCAACTAAGGAAAGAACTCACCTTGGAAAAACATTTAACTTAAGCTCAAGCTATAGTTTGAACCTGAGTATAAAAAATGGGAACTATACAGCAGTGAATCCTGAGGAGTTTGATGTATGTAAGAACATGTTTTCCTCTTGTGAGCCTGATGGTATGCATGTAGGAGAGAAACCTGAGCACCCTAATATACCTGGGAAATCCCTCAGATATCCTGAATTTCCAGCTCTTCATCACATGATTAAAAATTTGCAGCAGCCTTTTAAATTTAGTGGACAAGAGAAAGCCGTCAGCAAAGAGACAAGATTCTTTTCACATAGGAGGGCTGTTACAGGAGAGACCAACTGTAAAATTAATGAGTGTCGGAATACCTGTGATACGCTAGCTCTCATTTTCCAAGAGGGAAGTGAAATAGGGCAGACTCCCTATATCTGTAATGAATTGGGGAAGCCCCTTTTTGAGAATACAACACATTTGAATCTTCCCAGAAATTTTGAAGATGAACACCAGACATGCAAGCAACATGGGAATTACTTCATTAAGAAATTACATGTCCCTGAGCCTCAGAGAACTCCATTTGGAAAGGAAATTTTTGAATATAATACATGTGGTAAAACACTGTGTAAAATCTCTGTTCTTGCTAAACATCAGAAAAAACCAACAGGTGATAATTCTTACGGATGTTGGAAAACCTCTGAGATTTCACCACCCAAAAGATATCAGACAAATCTGACTGGAGAGAAACCCTTTGAATATAAAGAATGTAGGAGAACTTTCTGCAAGATGTCAGCCTTCACTGTTCATCAGCAGTCTCTCACAGGAGAGAAACATTACGAATGTAAACAGTGTAGGAAGACTTTCAGTCAGAAGTCAGACTTTAGTGTACATCAGACAACTCACACAGGAAAGAAATATTATGAATGTCAAGAGTGTAGGAAAACTTTCTACCGGAAGTCAGCCCTTTGCGTGCATCAGAGAACTCATACAGGAGAGAAACCCTATGAATGTCAGCAGTGTCAGAAAACCTTCTGCCAGAAGTCAGCCCTTCGTGTACATCAGGGAACTCACACAGGAGAGAAACCCTATGAATGTCAGCAGTGTCAAAAAACTTTCTACCGGAAGTCAGTCTTTAATCTACATCAGAGAACTCACACAGGAGAGAAACCCTATGAATGTCAGCAGTGTCAGAAAACCTTCTGCCAGAAGTCAGCTCTTCATGTACATCAGCGAACTCACACAGGAGAGAAACCCTATGAATGTCAACAGTGTAGGAAAACTTTTAGCCAAAAGACAGCTCTCACTGACCATCAGAGAATGCATACAGGAGAAAAACCCTATGAATGTCAACAGTGTAGGAAAACATTTCATTGGAAGTCATCCCTCATTGTACATCAGAGAAGTCACACAGGAGAGAAACCCTATGAATGTAAACAATGTAGGAGAACATACTTCCAGAAGTCAGCCCTCACTGTACATCAGAGGACTCACACAGGAGAAAAACCATATGAATGTCAAGAGTGTAGGAAAACTTTCTTCCAGAAGTCAGCTCTCACTGTACATCAAAGAACTCACACAGGAGACAAAGCCTGTATTTGTAAACAATGTGGGAAGATTTTCTACCAGAAGTCAGTCCTCACTAAACATCAGAGAATTCACACAGGAGAAAAACCCTATGAATGTAAACAATGTGGTAAAGCTTTCTCTCAGAAATCAGCTCTGACTGTACATCTGAGGATTCACTCAGGAGAGAAACCCTATGAATGTCAAGAGTGTAGAAAAACCTTCTACCAGAAGTCAGCTCTCACTAAACATCACAGAATTCACACAGGAGAGAAACCTTATGAATGTCAACAATGTGGGAAAGCTTTCTCTCAGAAGTCAGCTCTGACTGTACATCAGAGAAGTCACACAGGAGAGAAACCCTATGAATGTCAAGAGTGCATGAAAACTTTCTCCCAAAAATCAGCCCTCACTGTACATCAGCAAACTCACAGAGGAGAATAACCCTCTGAATGTAAAAGTATAGGAGCACATTCTCCAAGAAGTTAGCTCTCGTTCTATATCAGAGTACTTAGGAGGGGAATCTGGTGAATTTGAAGAATACAGGAACACTTTCTACTGAAAGCCAGTCCAAAATTGTCAAAGAATTCACAGGAGTACAGACAAATCTACTTCCCGGATTTGTCATGGGAGCCATAACATGAACCAGCAACATGATTTAAGACAAGGGATTGCCTGGAGAGAGCAGAATTTTCCAAACTCTAATACACCATTTGTATTTTCCTTGGCTGAAAAATATTTACTCACTGGAAACTTTAAGCGCATACTCTGTTCACAACATCACCAGTCTGTTGTAGCCAGTTTGCATTTTAAGTTTGCCTTCTGTAAGGCAATTCTTAATCAAAATTTGCAGAAGAAACCATTTTGTCATCTTTCGTCCTCAGGTAACTTGATGGGAAAGTAAAAAAAAAATCATTAGAGCAAAGAATCCAATGAATGAAGAAAATGTGTGTCATGTAGGGATAGCTCAGTGAACACTGACAGCAAATTAAAATTTTAGAAATATTTAAATGTGTGTAGAAAAATATAGAACAAAAATTACCCTTTGTTAGTACCAGGAGAATCTTGCAAAATGTTCCTTTGGGGGTAAAATCACCCCCATTGGAAAAGCACTGCTCTAGTTAATGTTTTCCAAAATTTTGAACACAACCTCTAGTATTCCTAGCAACTACTGGACCTGCTGGATCTATATACTCCCAGCATATAAGTGGCATGAAAAGTTGACATCTATGAAGCCACCTTTTAAATGGAGTCATTGCAGAAAATTACCATTATCTGTCTCATTCAAGCTAGTGTAAAGATCATTGAGCTGGGGGCCTCCCTGGTGGTGCAAATGGTTAAGCACAGCACTGTGAAGCTATCCTCAGCCTCTGCAGCATGAGTTCGATCCCCAGCCTGCCAGGGAGCCACCCACATGGTGCAGCAGACCTCTCCTGTCTTGTCCATTGCTCCTCTCAGCAGTGTATTTCAGTCAGTCTGTCTGTTCTCTACTGTCTAGTGAATCCTCTCACACACACACTCCCGCCCCGCACCTCTGGCCTGTACCCTGGTTCTTTTTTTTTTTTTTTTTTTAAGATTTATTTTATTTATACAAGAACCGGGGTACAGGCCAAATGCGCAGGAGAGTGAAAGGATTCACCAGATTCAGAGCGGGGAACAGAACACGCAGACTGACAAAATACACTGCTGAGGGGAGCAGCAGGTGAGACAGGAGAGGTCTGCTCACCATGTGGGTTGCTCCTAGGCTGGTGGGTATTGAACCGGCACTGCAGCGGCTGCAGACAGCTTCACAGTGCTACACTTAACCGCCTGCGCCACCAGGGAGGTCCCTTTACCCCAGTTCTTATATGCATAAATAAATAAATCTTTAAAAAAAAAATCATTGAGTCGGGCCAAAGCACTTTGAATTGAGCCAAATGCAGTTGTACTAAGAAGCCAAAAAAAATTGAGAGTTTTCAAAATCATGAACCCCGAATGCCATGGACTTTTACCTAGAGTAACAAAGCAGTTCTATTTTCATCCTTTCTAGAGAATAAGTAACCAAATAAGTAGACTTAAAAATAGTTTCAGATTTTTAACACTAACTGTTACCATTTTCCTCATCATCCTCATTTCCTCTAATAAAAGTGCTCAATTATAAACTTCTTTGGGCGCAATTTGGCTTTCTACTGAATATGTACCCTGAATTGGAAATCAATTAAATTGCCTTTTAGTGTTCTAAACATAGAGATAAGATACCACCAGATAGTCCATTTCAAGGCAGAGGGGTTAGGAGGTACTTAGTACTGGTCCTTTGGAAATCTAAAAGTGTACCTTACTGGTTCTTTGATTCGGTTCTTGGGATTATTTCCAAGGTGCTTGATTGCACTTTGTGTTACCCTCCCTTCAAGACATTTTGATTTTGTAAGGAACCACAGTTGATCCTTGAACAACAAGAGTTTCATCTGTGCATCTGTGCTAGTTTTTCTGCTAATGTTTTTCATTAAATGTATTTACAATTTTTTGCATATTTGTATCCTAGCAATATGAAAAATGTTTTTAAGGAATGATTAGGTATGTCGTGAATTCATAAAATATATATATAGCTAGTAGTCATCTACTATCATAAAATGGGCACAAATCTGTTATAAAAGATTAAAATTTATAAAAATTTATGAAAACAGATGGCACCATTCAGTTGAGAAAAACATACATAAACATAAGGACAGGGCCCCTCTGGTGGCACACAGGGTTGAGCACAGCACCGTGAAGTTGTCTGCAACATTTGCAGGACGAGTTCAATCCCCGTCCAGCCAGGGAGGTGACCCACATGGCACAGCAGACCTCTCCTGTCTCGCCCACTGCTCACCTCAGCAGTGTATTTCAGTCAGTGTGCCTGTTCTGTTCCCCACTCTGTCTCTGGTGAATCCTCTCACCCCCCCCATGCCTTTAGCCTGTACCCCAGTTCTTGTATGCATAAACAAATAAATCTTTAAAAAAAAACATAAGGACAATGTTTAAATCCAATTGCATACAATCAGTGCATACTCTTTTCCATGTTTCTGCTGTCATTCTGTAGCTCTTCCTGTTGCTATTGCACCAATCTCAAATGCTCCTGGTATCTGCTTAATGTGCCGGGCGATGCAAATCATTTCCATGTAAACAGTTTTTCTGTATATTGCATATTACAATAAAAAGTGATCTCATGAATCTTAAATATTTTTCTTTATGTTTGTGCATTTCTGTAAGCCTCAGGTAGCACCATGAGGTGCACACACAATGCCATTAGTGATGCTGGAATGGTTTTTGGCACAGGAAAGTTGTAACATAAAGAAAATGTTACAAGAACTGGGGTATATGCCAGAGGTGTGGGGATTGGTGGTAAGAGGATTCACCAGAGTCGGAATGGGGAGCAGAACAAGCAGATCAACTGAAATACACTGCTGAAGGGAGCAGTGGATCAGACAGGAGAGGTCTGCTGCACCACGTGGATCAGCTCCCTGGCCAGGGATTGAACTCAGGCCATCTCTGTGATAGTGCTAGGACTGTAGTGGCTGCTGATTGCTTGATACCCTAACCCTTGTACCACCAGGGGGGCCCCCTCAGTTTTTTATGTCAGCCTCTGAACTTTCATTTTTAGGGCTTCTGTACTACACACTGACTAGAAAATGTCGATAGTGTTTCTCAAAGGGCCATTGGACAAATCAGTTACTTGATTGATAATGTTTTCAAACCAGTTGTAAATATTACAATAAGTTTTTCTCAACTGTAATACAAACCTGTGGTTACAGCAACCACTTGGACCTCACATCACCTATGGCGCATGGAGAAGTGCAAATAGAGACTTGTTAGTGAAGCAAGTCTCCTGCCCTCTGCCAGCAGTGGGTGTGATAGCATTTGGCATCATTTCTACCCAAAGTTTTCACAAGACAAATCATGTTTGTTGAAAATTCAGGACAAGGGCCTCCCCGGTGGCGCAGCGGTTGAGCGCTGGGTTGCGAAGCTACCCGCGGCCTCTGCGGCGCCGGCTCGATCCCCGGCTGCTCCCCGGCCACCGGAGGAGGGTCCCACATGGCGCGCAGACCTCTCCTGCCGCCCGCTGCTCCCCTCAGCAGTGTACTTCGGTCCTTCTGCCTGCTCTGCTCCCTGCTCTGGCTCTGGTGAATTCTCTCACCCTCCCGCACTTCTGACTGTACCCAGTGCATGTATAAACCAAACAAACAAACAAATAATAAATAAATAAATAAGACATGCCTCTAGAAAATTAAAAAAAAAAAAAAAGAAAATTCAGGACAAGCTTGGACTCAACATCCCTGATTAACATGTTACCACATCTCTCCCAGTAAGGGCAGTAAAACAAAAAAAAGTGTCCTGCTTTCTTGTTATCTTTATTGGGACTATGAAAGTGAATTTGCAGTAACCTTTCCACATTAAAGGACAAGCCTTACATCGTGAAACCATCACCAGGGGAATTCGGTTTCTTGAAATTTGGTGGAACAGAAGTATTTAGGCCACAGCAGGGATGAAAGTGAAACTGCTCCCCTCAGCTGTTCTGCTCCCCACTCTTGTCTCTGGTGAATCTTCTCACCCCTTCACCTCTGGCCTGTACCCCAGTACATGTCTGCATAAATAAATAAATCTTTAAAAAGAAAAGGGACAGAAGAGTAAAGGACACTTGCATAGACACAAGTGGGCAGAAAGAGCTGCCCCAAAAGGACAGGTTTGCTGAGAGAGGCCTGCGTGGTCGCAGGCGGGCGGCCTTGAGGAGAGCTCCCCCTGCTGAGGGAGGTCAGTGAAGAGAAGTCCCGGCCTGGTGCAGGTCATGGGCAGGCAGGAGGCTGCTGCCCTGCAGAGGGAGAGAGTTGGTGAAAAGTTGCACCTGCAGTGTCACAGGTGGGCAGACGGACTGCTGCTGTGCCAGGGCAGAGACTGCACTGATACAGTGTTCTTCTCTTTGGGAGGGTCGCATTTCTTTGTGGAGTAGCCTGTTTGCTGCTGATTTTGAAGGCCAGAGATAGACCTGAAGATTCCACAATGGGCCCAATCTCCATATCTTTACCCTCAGGTCAGAGTGCCTGGCAGTCTGATACCTGCTTGGGTCTTATGCCTTGTGATAAGGCACTGGAGCCTAAGGATCTTGATTTCCATAGCTGGGTTAATGGTCAAGTTAATCCCCTCTACCCCCACCTCCAGCTCCTGGTACTGTGAGCCAGGTTTTCATCTTGTGATGCTTTCTTTAGGTTTTCTATTCTTTCCTCCATCAGGAGACATCAGTACTGAGGAGAAATAGCATTTTCTTTGTTTGTAGATAAGTGTGTTCATATCAGGACTGGGAAGATGGGGTCAGAGGGAGGCTCTGGCATCATTTACAAGCTGCTCCTTCCTCAGTGGTGTTGACATCTTGTGGGGAGAGCATCTCCTTGGCCAGAGCCCTCCATCAAGAGCTCTGTTACCAGAGAGGGAGGAAGCCTTTTCCTGGGGCAGCTGAGTCACCCTCGCATCTGAATTCCAGCCTCTCTGCTGGGAGACACTGCAGTGCTGCCTCTACAGCTCAGACGTATCACACCTTGGACTATCCATGAGGTTTGAGAGCACCCAGGAGCTGAGGGAGAGACCCAAGCACCATGCCAGGCACTAATGGCCCCAGCAACCATGTACACCGACCAGTGAAGGCCTGGAGCCGAGAGAAAGACAGATACACAGGAAACTCCACCTGGGAATGTCTGGCCACTTGCCTTATTTCCAGTGCATGACTGGTGGAGCTGTCACCACCCAAAGGCACTTTTCTGAAGCCTCCATTTTCCTACTATTCTTCAAACTCACATGAAAGTTCCCCTCAAGTCCCAAACCACCTGCTTTAGCATTTGCTAAGAGAAACTATTGTTAGGGGTCCTCCCTGATGGCGCAGCAGGTTGAGTGCAGCGCTGTGAAGCTGTCCATAGCCTCTGCAATGCGGGTTCGATTCCCAGCTGGCCAGGGAGATTCCCACATGGCAGGGCAGACCTCTCCTGTCCTGCTACTCTCAGCAGTGCTTTCTGTTTGTCTGCCTGTTCTGCTCCCCGCTCTGTCTCTGGTGAATCCTCTCACCCACCCGCCTCTCTGGCCTGTACCCCAGCTACTGTATAAATAAAAAAAATAAATCTTTAAAAAAAAAAAAAAGAAACTATTGTCTGGTACCAGGGTCTGCTGAAGCCATCTGTTGCTGTGAAATAAACCAACCAGAAAGTGGAAAATACAATCTGTTCTGATATGCCCCTTTTCAAATGGCATCTAGATATAAAAAACTGGGGCCTCCCTGATGGTGCAGGAGTTAAAGTCAGCACCATCAAGCTACTGCCAGCCACTGCAGCAGGGGTTCGATCCCCGGCCAGCCAGGGAGCAATCCACATGTTGCAACAGACCTCTCCTGTCTCACCCACTGTTCCCCTCAGCAGTTTATTTCAGTCAATCTGCCTGTTCTGCTCCCCACTCTGTCTCTGGTGAATCCTACCCCCATACCTCTGGCCTGTACCCCAGTTCTTATATGCATAAATAAATAAATCTTAAACTAAAAGATATAGGGCCTCCCTGGTGGCGCAAGTGGTAAGATGCAATGTATGAAGCTCGCTGCAACCACTGCAGCACCAGTTCAATCCCCAGCCAGGGAGCTAACCACATGGCGCAGCAGACCTCTCCTGACTCACCCGCTGCTCCCCTCAACAGTGTATTTCAGTCGATCTGCCTATTCTGTTCCCCACTCTGTCTCTGCTGAATCCTCTCACCTCCCACTACTCTGACCTTTACCCCAGTTCTTGTATGTATGAATAATAAAATTGGGCCTCCCCTGGTGGCGCAGCGGTTGAGCACTGGGCTGCGAAGCTGCCCGCAGCCTCTGCAGCGCCGGTTCGATCTCCGGGCACCAGCGAGGGTCCCACATGGTGCGCGGGCCTCTCCTGCCGCCCGCTGCTCCCCTCAGCAGTGTATTTCGTCGGTCTGCCTGTTCTGTTCCCTGCTCTGGCTCTGGTGGATTCTCTCACCCTCCTGTGCTTCTGACTGTACCCAGTGCTTGTATAAATAAATAAAAAAAACTTTTAAAAAACAGGTATAAAAAACTAGCAATGAAAGTAACATACCTTGACAAGATCTGTGTGGAAATGTGCGCTAAGCAGAAGAAAGAAACAGCAGCCAAACACCGGGGGTCTTCGGCTCTTGGGTGTGAGATTTCTGGCCCAGTAAACGGAGCTGCCTCTGTGGAGACCTCTCTGCCCCAGTCCCAGCCCTTCCTGCTTCTCCCTGACACAGCCTTGGTGCCCCAGGAGCAATTGGCTTTTACAAAAAAACCGCAGAGGCTGCTGCTCTTATTTGCCTTATTTTATTTCTCTGGTTCCCTCGCTTCCCCTCCACCTCCCACCTCCTGTCCCCGCTTTCTGTCAGCTTCTCCTCAAGGTTGACCCTGACCATGGATGGTGCACTCAAGACCTTTTGAGAACAAGCAAAGTAAGGGGAGCTGCTAGGTGAGAGGTTGGGGGCACAAGGTCAAGGGGGGATGTGCCCTCACCTGTCAGAGCTCAGACCCTGTGGCCTTTGAAGGTGGTTTCCTGCTGGGCTCCCCTTGTCCTCTTGTATAGGGCTTGATTGCATGACAAGCCCAGCTTCTCTCAACCGGTGCTTTGTGGCAGGGGGTACATCAGAGGTTGCTGTGGGGTAGGGTGGGGGGGGCCTTTCCTGGACCACCTGGGTCCATGCAAAGCTTGCTGACTGGCAGCCTGTTCCCTAGTCAGGCCCTGGACGTTACTGGCTGCCTCCCCTGTATTGGGTGCAGGGTGGTCATCGTTTCCTGCTCCCGTTCCTCTCTCCAGGGCCCTGGGGCCAGGCCATGGCTGATCAGCACCGTTTGGATCATCACGTATGGCTGGGAGATGTTCTTCGCTTACCAGCCCCGCTCGTGGCCTGTTTCCCTACACGTACGTGGGAGTCAGGGCCTCACACTGTTGGGGCACTGGACTCTGAGCCAGGTGCCTATGTGCAGACCCCAGCCCTGCCATCACGGTGCAGTGAGGACCAGGACCTGGATCCTCTTTCCTAGTCTACAGAAAGGTGGTACTGGGTGAAAGGTCGATACAGGGGTGAGAATGAGGAATCCCACCTAGGGGCCTGCTGATATCATCAGAAAACAACTCTGTTCCCCCTCAAACCACCTGCAAGCCTGGTTTCCTCTCCCCACTCTATAAAAACCTGCCTTCCCCTGACAATGCGAGCAACTTCACCAACCCCCACCTGGGGTCCGTGAATTCTGCCCGGGGGTGCAATACATTTTCCCTTCCCTTTCCTTAGCTTGTCTCTCCTTTTCTTTGCCACGAATCTTTCACTGAGGCTTTCCCGGTGGCGCAGGGGTTGAGCGCAGCGCTATGAAGCCAGCCGCAGCCTCTGCAGCGCAGGTTTGATCCCCGGCTAGGGAGCTACGCACATGGTACAGCAGACCTCTCCTGCCTTGCCTGCTGCTCCCCTCAGCAGTGTTTTTCAGTAGATCTGCCTGTTGTGTTCCCCACGCTGTCTCTGGTGAATCCTCTCACCCACCTCCTGTAACTTTGGCCTACACCCTAGTTCTATGCAAAAAAAAAAAAAAAAAGAAAGAATTCTACACCTGAAAACTTAAATGCTTCAGACATACTCTAAGTCTTTCAGTTTCTTTAATGAACACAACCTTTTTTTGGAATGTTTAATATGTACTGGATGACATACTGACTGCTTTACTAGTGATGCATCACAGCAACCTCATGAGGAACTTTCACATATGAAGAATCTGGGGCTCTGTCAGGCTGAATGACTTGTTTCACAAATGCATAAACAACTATTTGAAATTTATCAAATGCATTTGAACAAAAATGTTCAAATATGGTTGTTTTTGCTATGCCTGGTATTGTTAGGGGGAAAGGATGTCCTGAGCTAATCCCATACAGGCTTTGTGGACGCCACCCCCACTCCAGACCAAAGCCCTCAGGGCATTGGGAAAGACAAATCCCGTCACCACCAAAGGGAAGGTGGCTGGGACCTGAGGGTGGAGTTAGGTAGCCAGGTTGGTATAAAACCAGACATGTGGGCCTTGGAGTCTCTCTCACCTCTTGAATTCATGACTCATGGCTCACCGCCAGCTCTGAGAGTGCCATTTGGGATTCCAGATTCGCAGAACGGGTAGGACGCATTTAAGACTTTATTTCCCTCTTTTCTCCCTGAGTTGTACATTTCCTCATTTCTCCTTTCCTTGTAAATAAACCTTTTATTAACCTTTTGCGTGTGCCCGCAGTGGAGTATTTTTTTTTTAATGGTTTTATTCATTTATTTTTTAAAGATTTATTTTTATTTATTTATACAAGCACTGGGTACAGTCAGAAGCGCGGGAGGGTGAGAGAATTCACCAGAGCCAGAGCGGGGAGCAGAGCAGGCAGAAGGACCGAAGTACACTGCTGAGGGGAGCAGGAGAGGTCTGCGTGCCGTGCGGGACCCTCCTCCAGGGCCGGGTTGCAGCCGGGGATCGAACCGTTGCTGCAGAGGCTGCGGGCAGCTTCACAACCCAGCGCTCAACCGCTGCGCCACCAGGGAGGCCCCGCAGTGTAGTACGTTCTTTTTAAGCACGCAGGTGAGGACCCACAGTCAGGCAACCCGTTTTATATCGGGGCTGCCCTGTAACAGTGTAAGTCTGTTATTTGAAAGGGAACTCTGGATATTACCTCTATGATTCTGTGTCTTTGCTGTACAAACTTGGGGCCCTTGAGTCAGAGGCAATGACATCAAGTGTTACTAAAAAGCTGTTGAAATGTGGAACAGCGCCCCCCTCCCCCAGCAACTGCTGAATCAGAAGGTGCATTTTACATCAGTCCAGTCACACTAAAATATGGGGGACCCTAGCTCACACCTTAGGGTTGAGACCCCTGCTTCCCTCCAATAGTCTGTGATGGAGGACAAGAATAGAAAGACTGGAAAGGAGGTGCCCCAAGGCCAGAACCAGACTCACACGAGGAGGTGGGTGTGGAGGGGAATAACATGACCATTAACCCAGCTGGAGAGGTTGGACCCTTAGGCGCCAGTGCCTTGTCTCAAGGCCTGAGACCCAAGCAGGATCAGATGCTATGGGGAGTGGAGCACAGACCTGAGGGGAAAGATATGGAGACTGGGCCCACCCTGGAATCTCTGGTCCCTTTCTAGTTTTGCCTGTGAGACACAGGGCAAGCTAGGAATTAGGCAGTTTTAGGGACAATGCAGGAGGGGACCTCTGAAGAATTTAGGGAGGCTTCAGAGATGAGGACAACCAAGGGAATGTAACCAATTCCACTAGGGAAAACAAACATCTCAGGACCAATGACAACATTGTTAAAGCTGGTCCTGGTTTCCTTCAGGTGGTAAAGGGAGGCAGAGATTGGAGAAATGGAGAGTGGTTTAATTTATGGACAACTTAGAAGGGCAGCTGTTTAACTTCAATGCAGGGATGCCCATCCAGAGGATTGGGCCATAAAGATGAAGATGCAACAAATGGGGAAAGACAGACCTGCTAGATAAGGAATGTGAAGATCCCCCACTCAGTAGCAAATTAAGTGAGACAGCAGAGAACTAACCAATCACAAAGAAACAGGTGGAGCTTTAGAATAATGAGGGAAAAAAGGTCTATATTCTCTGAGACACAGCTCCACTTTGGCTTCCTTGCCCCTCCCAGGCCTGGTTTCCTGGCCTGGGAGTCCTACTTTATTTCTGTTCTTTTTCTCCTCAATAAACTTTTTCTTTCTCTAAACACACCTGCCTCTTCTCGCTTGCTCGCCTGAGCGTCTGCAAGTTTCCTGCTGCGGCTTCGTGAGACACCAACCTGTGGGGGTCTAGTGGCTGGGGCTCAGCGCTGCCCTGCAGCCTGGGATCCGTTCATGGCTGGGAGACTAGGCCTGACAATTCCGGTATCACCTGTTACCCAACATCAGCAACAAGCAGCCTGCTCCACGGAGGAGTGACCCCTCCCAAAGAGAAAAGGACTGTATCAGTGCAGTCTCTGCACAGGCTCGGGGCAGCACTCCCTCTACCCACCTGTGACTATGCAGGTGCTTCTTTTCACCAACTCTCTCCCTCTGCAAGGCAGCAGCCTCCTGCCTGCCCGTGACCTGTCCCATGCCGGGACTTCTCTTCACTGACCTCCCTCAGCGGAGGCCACTCCCCTCAAGGCCGCCTGCCTGCAACCATGCAGGCCTCTCTTAGCAAACCTGTTCCTTTCCCTTTCCCTAATATATCTGTTCTTTAAATATGACTGTCTCTGTCTCATGGAAAAACACACCTGGGAAACTCACCATATGCCGCTGAAACGGGAGCTCTGGTGACACCTTTCCCAGAGTGAACCCAAGGACCCCAGCACTCTACAAAACTACACCAGTCTGCACTTGAGGAAGGGGGGAAGGTCAGTGAGACTCCTTGAGGGCCCCCTCTGTCCTCCCTTCAATGGCAAGAAGCTCAGCCTCCCAGGCAGGGCAGGAACCTGCCCCTGGGCTGCTGATACTGGAACAAAGTGGTCCCCAGGAAAGGGGAACGTTCCAGGTTTCCTGCTCCACCCTAAAGGAGGGTGGAGCTGAGCAGGGAGAGAAAAAGCTGCAGAGGAGACTGAGGAAGGAAGGAAGTAGGATGGGGAGCCAGAAGGAGACCTGGAGGAGGCACGTGGAGCAGAAAGACATGTGAAGAAACTGCACTTGCCATTTGGTCGTGGACTGGGTGACACAGATGTGGGTGAGAGAGCCTTGGGGAGGTGACAATAGCAGTTTTTGTCTTGATTTTGATTTTGCTCTTTTCCTCCCGGACTTGTCTGGCTGTTTCTCATCCTTTTCTGTGGGTCCCCACTGGAAGATGCTTTAGACTTGTGGCAGACTTTGGGGCCTTGCTCTGGGCCAGTCCCATTTGGGTAGACTTTTACCCACGAGGAGATGGGGTAACTTTGGGTGCTTGATTTAGAAACAATTTCTTTGCCTTTCCTGTATTGTTTGCTAATTGTACTAAAGTTCCTCTTCATTAAAGTCTCATATGTTTTGTGTTGATGTAGCGGATGGCAGAACCTCTTTAGAGCAAGCAGGTTTGCGGGGTCTGGGGTGCCCCCTCCCTGCCCTCTAACAATACCGTAATGTCAGGTTTTCAGGCCTAGTCTCCCAGCCAGGAATGCATCTCAGGCTGCAGTGGCTGCGCTGAGGCCCAGCCACTAGACCCCCACAGGTTAGGGTGTCACGAAGCCGCAGCAGGAACTTCACTGACGCTCGGGAAAGCAAGAGAGAAGAGGCAGATGTGTTTAGGGAAAGAATAAGTTTATTGAGGAGAAGAGGAACAGAAATAAAGTGGGACTCCTAGGCTGGTGGACCCAGGTCAGAAAGGGGCAAGGAACCCAAAATGGAGTCTGGCCTCAGGGAATAGGCACCTTTTTTCCCTCATTATTCTAAAGCTCCACCAGTCTCTTTGTGATTGTGTTAGGGGAAAAAGGATGTCCCAAATCTAATTCCATACAGGCTTTGTGGACTCCACCCCCACCCTAGGTCAAAGTCAAAGACACTGGGAACTCCAAATCCCATCATCACCAAAGGGAAGGTGGCTGGGACCTGAGGGTGGGGTTAAGCAGCCAGGTGGATACAAAAGGCAGACACGTGGGCTTTGGGGATCCCCCATTTTGGCTCTCCACCAGCTCGCAGCGTCAGGCCAGCTCTGAGAGTGACTTTGGGTTTCCAGGTCGTCGGATCGGGTAGGACGCATTAAAGACTTTATTTCCCTATTTTTTCCCTGAGTTGTACATTTTCCTTATTTCCTTTTCTCTTGTAAATAAACCTTTTATTAACCTTTTGCGTGTGTCTGTAGTAGAGTATTCATAAGTCCCTTTAAAGCGCGCGGGTGAGGACCCACAGCCAGGAACCCGTTTTAATATCGGGGTTGCTCTATAACAATTGGTTAGTCCTTGGTGGTCTCATTCACTGCCTAAAGGTCTCTGTGCCCAGAACTAAGTCTCTGTGTTCCAGCCCTTATTTTTTTTTTTAATCTTCCTTGTCCAGGAATGTCCTGTTGCCCCTAGTAATGGGGTGTTTGATTGGTCCCCTTTGGAATTTGTTACCCTTATCTCTGGCGCTTTCCTTAACCCTCCTGAAGTCCCGACACTGCCCTTGAAGCTGCCTAATTATGCCTAACTTGCCCCAGGACTCAGTGCTTTCCCTTTAACTCTGACCTCTGACCCCCAACCACTCAGACTGCAGCATCCCAAGCTCAGGAGCGGGGAGTGTGAGGTACACGTTTCTTTTAGGACAGAACAAAGCCTATTTTTTCGACCACCCAGACGCGGTTCCCGTTTTCTTCCAGAGGGCCCTGCCGACCTGACCCCTCCAGCATCCCCTTGGGGGTGTCTAGGCAACAGAACCCGAAATAGAACCGGTCTCGAGAAGGCTGATCGGCAGCGCACAGGGTTGTGGGAAATGTAGTTTCCGCGTCCACCAAGTCCCTGCAAAGGCTCTCAAAAGGGGCTTCTGCTTTCTTTTGCGCAGGCGCGGCCCGCCCCCTCCGCCATCTTTCCCGGAAGTTTCTGAAGCTCCTCCAGCGCCGCCGATCGCGAGTTCCTAGCGCTGCTTGTCTCTGAGGTGGGTCTGGGGTGACAGCGAGAGGGACGAAGGCCGGGAGGGCTAGGGGAACGGCAAAGGCTGAGACACGGGACAGTGATTTTAAACAATGTAGGAACAGAAGGAACAAAACAGCTCCCATAAAAACAAGTGTGTTGCTAACATGTTGCTGAGCCAGCCACCAAGTAGAGTAAAATCCTATTATGGGATAATTAGAGAACAGAAAAACAAACACCACGAAACTTCCCGACCACTTCGTGCCTAATCAGTAGTTTGGCACATCGGACAACAGTAAGTCTGACAGTATATAGTCGCAGACAGGGCTGGAGCAGAGGGCATCCTCCCTTGGCTCTCCTCCTGCTGTCAGTTCTTTCCTCTTGCTTCAGTAATTCCACACTTGCTTGTGCTCACGATTGGTGAGGGGGCTGTTATTTCTCAACCGGTTTACACACCCGGACGCAGGAGCATCAATTCTCCTAACAAAAGGGGAGCCTGCCCATGGGGTACAAAGGGAGGGAGAGGTAAGGTGGGTGAGGACCTGAGTACCAGTGTGTGTGTGTGGTGAAGGGGAGGGAGAGGACAAGGGAGGTGACGAAGTCAGTAAGGGGTGAGGTGCAGGGGGATCCCAGTCCCACGGGACACAAGAGGGAGCCTTTAAATTGGGTCTGAACCTGAATACTGGAGTGGGGGTGGTCAATGGGCCACGTGACTCTTGAACAGGAGCAGCCTGGAAGGAGAGGCACCTGAGTAGGGGTTAGGTGTTAATGGGTCCCTGCACTTGAACACAAGGCTGACCCCTCCAATTGACATCCCTTATTATTTTCAGTAGTTGTGAGTGTGAGTTGTATTGGTCATGTAACTGGAAATTTTTTTTTAAAAGATTTACTTATTTATGCATACAAGAGCTGGGGTACAGGCCAGAGATGTGGGGGGTGAGAGGATTCACCACAGAGTGGGGAACATAACAGGCAGACTGACTGAAATACACTGCTGAGAGGAGCAGCGGGCGAGACAGGAGAGGTCTGCTGCGCCATGTGGGTAGCTCCCTGGCTGGCCAGGGATTGAACTCGTGCTGCAGAGACTGCAGATTGCTTCATAGTGCGGTGCTTAACCCCTTGCGCCACCAGGGAGGTCCCTGAAGAATTTTTTTTTAAAGTTTTATGCATAGCATACAAGAACTGGGGTACAGGCCAGAGGTGTGGGGGTAAGAGGATTCACCAGAGACAGAGTGGGGAACAGAACAGGAAGAGTGACTGAAATACACTGCTGAGGGGAGTAGCGGGTGAGTCAGGAGAGGTCTGCTGCGCCATGTGGGTAGCTCCCTGGCCAGGGATCGAATTGTGCTGCAGTGGCTGCGGACAGCTTCATAGGTTGCATCTTAACCCTTGTGCCACCAGGGAGCCCCTAACTGAAGATTTTTTCACCCGCGTAATTTGTTCAGAGACATCGGGTTTGGGGAACTACATGGATCACTTGGCATTTTCTGTGTAAAGATCTGACTCAAATATATTGGCTTTTAGAAATCAAGCCCAAACACTTCATTACTGGAAGTTGAATGTTCCGCTCAGCCTAGGTGCGAGCTACCACTGTCCTCCAGTTGCTCTGCTGGTGTAGCCAGGATGACATATGAGGCTGTAGTTACTTGGTGCCTTGACTGACGCTAGTTGGGGTAGGAATTTCACTTCCTGTTAGATGGATTTCTGTTGGCTATCACTCAGCCATGTGCCTCAGACAAGCTAATCCTGGGTGTCTTCCCAGGTTGACACTGTTCCCAGAAGGCAAGACCCCTGGAAAAGGACTTTTCATCTGTGTGTCATTGGTACCAGTTTCCCTTTGGCCAAACACGTCCCTTGGCAAAATCCAGGTCATTTGTTAGGGGGTAAAGGATGTCCTGAGCAAATTCCATACAGGTTTTGTGGATGCCACCCCCACTCCAGCAATACACTGTAAACTACAAATCCCATGATCCCCAATGGGAAGTTGCGAGGATCTAAGGGTGGAGTTAAGCAGCCATTTTCTCTGTTTGTAAATAAAACCAGCCATCTCAGTGGGATCAGGGCTCACTTGGCTTGTGCTCTCGGCCAGGCAGGTTTGATCTCCGAAGGTCATTTGGCATTCCGGGTGGGCAGCATGGGTAGGACACATTTAAGAATTTATCTCCCTCTTTTCTCCCTGAGATGGGGAGAATTCCTCATCCCCCTTCCCTTGTAAATAAACCTTTGTTAACCTTTAGTGTGTGCCTGCAGTGTACGTCCCTTTTAAGTGCGCGGGTGAGGACCCACAGTCAGGCAACCCGTTTTAGAGCTGGGTTGCCCTGTAACACCTTGGTGCCCAGCATGGTTTCCAAGTTACACCTGTGGTTGACCAGCCCAAAGTAACTCCTTGTGTTAGTCACCTTAAGCACACTAGGTCTGCAGGACACTGGTGAAAGTCTTTGTTTCAGGTCGTGAACAGTTTGCCTTTTTTTCTTGCCTGCAGCTTTGTCCTCTGTTTCAACCATGAGCTTAAGCAATCTCATCCCTGGCTTAAGTTCTTTCAGTTTTATTCCGGCCTTGACTTTAAGTAGTCTTTTTCCATTAAACATTTACTACCAGTCTTATTAACATAAATAACATAAACCAGGCCTATGGCACATGTTTTTGCTTTTATATACTTATATGGGTGGCTTGCAAGCCATACCTGCTTCGCAATATGTTTTTCTGGCTGTTTTTCTGATTGTTGTTGCTTCTCTGAGAGCTCGATGCTGCACTTCACCTATTGAGACCATGCAGCAACAAATTCAGGCTCTCAGTTTAGCTGTGCAGAATACGAGGGACGAAAACCGTACAGTTCTTAAAACTGTGCAAGACCAGATACAGGCTGAGCTCCAAAAACTAGATGTGGGGGAGGCTAGGCTAATGGCACAGAGAAGGAATAAACCTTCCCCTTTCCATGAGCCCCTCAAGAGGGCAGAATTAGAAGAGGATTATCATTTTGCATTCCTTAAACACACACTACACACTCCTCCTCAGTGTGGCAGTGTTCCCCCTATACAGACTCCTAAGACTTCGCAGCCCCCACTGCCCTCCGGGGAAGAAACAAAACGACATCTCCTCCCCACACTAGAAGCAGCACCCACTTTGGCAGGAAGGGTCACCCTGAGGCAGGACAGTTTCCTCTTCCCCAGATGCCAGTGGGTGGTTTGAATGAACATGGGTGACCTGCTGGATGCTTTTGGTCACACCATCCCTTTAGTACCGCGGACCTCCTAAATTGCAGAAGCTGTCCCTATATACTGGCAGGCTCCTAAGAGGATGGCAAACTTATTTGCCTCTATCTTTCTCTCCCACCACCCTAACTGGGCAGATATACAGTCCATGCTTCAAACTTTGCTGACTCTGGACGAGCAGAGAATGGCATTCAGGGAGGAGGCTGACCATCTCCACCAACAGGACAGAGAATCCCCAGAGCCAGAGATGGTTGTCCCAGTGGTAGATCCCTAGTGGGACCCCAATAATGGAGGGATGGAGATGTTAGAACAGTATAAAAAATGTTTATTGGTTGGCTTGCAGCAGGGAATCCCCAAACAAAATTTTTTTTACAAAATATTACAACTTGAACAGGGAGCTAATGAGGCTCCATCAGAGTTCCTTGAGAGAATTATTCAGATGTATACCAACCACACATATATAAACCCAGATATCCCAGAAAATGCTCGTCTGATCACTATGGTGTTCATTACACATAGTGCCCCAGACATAAGAAAAAAGTTAGCAAAGGTGGACGGCATCACAGAGATGAGTCTGTCCCAGGTAGTGGACTTGGCATTCCGGGTTTATAATAATAGAGAGGACAGGAGACTGAAACCTGCGACTGTTTTCAAACAGAGAGCATAGGACAGGATTTCAGAGAAACAGTAACGGACTGAAACGTGAGCCCATGAGAAGTGAACCCCTAGGGAGAAATCAGTGTGCTTACTGCAGGGAAGAGGGACATTGGAAGTACAGTTGTCCCAGATTACAGGGTAGCAATAGATGAAATAATTACAGAAGACAGGACAGAAGACTGAGGACACCATGACATGGTGATTCACACAGGGGTTACTGGACAGAATATAGACGGAGTACACGGAACCCGGAACCAAGGAGAGAGGAAAGGAGACAAATGGTAGCACAGAGTAGAGGCTCAGATGAGAATAGGTGGGAATATGGACCAAATATGAGAAATCAAGAGCCCAGTACAGAGGAAGGGAGACAGACAATAGTACGTAGAGAAGGATCTGATGAACAATAGGGGCTCCACTAGATTTAAAAAAACCCAGAAGGAACTGACCCAGAGACAAAATCCCCTTGGTCTTGTGAACCCATCGAAGATTGAGATATTTATTCAAGAAAAAGACAAAAACTTGAATGTTATTGACTTCTAGTTATTGTTGTAGGATACCCAAGGATTCACTTTTCTGAAGAAACCCTGAGATGACTAACATGCTCTATAGTCAAAGGGGGTTTAAAGGAAATGAATCCAGAGAAGCACTTCTGAGCCATTACAGGGTCAGTGTACTACTGACAATGTACATTAGGTGCATCTTTCCTATAAAATGGTAGCCAACAGTGTTCTATGTGAGTAAGTGTCTTTGAAGTTTTTTTTTTTTTAAAGATTGATTTATTTATGCAAGCACTGGGTACAGTCAGAAGCGTGGGAGGGTGAGAGAATTCACCAGAGCCAGAGCGGGGAGCAGGGCAGGCAGAAGGACCGAAGTACACTGCTGAGGGGAGCAGCGGGCGGCAGGAGAGGTCTGTGCGCCATGCGGGACCCTCCACCTGTGGCCGGGGAGCAGCCGGGGATTGAACCAGTGCTGCAGAGGCTGCAGGCAGCTCCGCAACCCAGTGCTCAACTGCTGCGCCACCGGGGAGGCCCCAAGTGTCTTTGAAGTTTTTAAGTAATTCTTAGCATTAGCTATTGGTAAATCACTAGGAAATTATGAATTTTCTTAAGGGCCAATTGTAAGTCTCAATTCTACCAGTGAATGGACTTGTGAGTCCTTTCCTACCCCACCTTAAAGCATAAAGTGTCGTTGTCACACAGAAGTGTCTCTCTTTTGTCTTTTCTAGGCAGTGTATAGAGCGTTTAGGACAGGGGACTCTAGGACCAAGGTGCCGGCTACCACAGTCCTTCCATTCCTGAACCCCATTCACCTCTCCCAGCTCTACCTCCAGTGTCCTTTATGCATTTCTGAGAACAACACACAATGAATGAATCTCTGGTGAGTTATTTTACTTTAGCATTGACTTTATGTACTTTATGACAGTATATAAATTAATTTGAAAAGTGGGAACGTTGGGGCCTCCCAACGTTGCGCCTCCCTGGTTTCTTGGTAAAAAAAAAAAAAAGTGCGAATGTGTGAAGTTTTGTGTTTTTTTTTTTTTAAAGATTTATTTATTTATGCATATAAGACCTGGGGTACAGGCCAGAGATGTGGGCGGTGAGAGGATCCACCAGAGACAGAGTGGGGAGCAGAACAGGCAGATTGACTGAAATACACTGCTGAGGGGAGCAGTGGGCGAAACAGGAGAGGTCTGCTACGCCATGTGGGTAGCTCCCTGGTGGGGGATTAACTCGTGCTGCAGTGGCTGTGGACAGCTTCATAGGTTGCGTCTTATCCCCTTATGCCATCAGGAAGGCCCTGTAGAGTTTTTTTTTTAAGCAAACATCAAGAACACAAAGATGTCATATATATATATATAGGCAAGGTGAGTGCAAATTGGTCTCTGGTCTTTCTGATGCCAAGTCAGAAATGCAGACACACATGCTCCCCAATGGGAAGGAACCCTGGGGGACGGCCTGCTGCGACTCGTGGGGCCTGAGCCTTGCAGAGCAGAGTCTGAAGCTGAGTCTCCATTGACCACATAGTTGATGAGGTACAGAGTGTCTCATTGTTAATCTGGAGGTTCTTGTGTCCTGTAGTTGGTGCTGGTTATCCTTTGCTGAAGTGCAAAATGCTTTTTCTGGAGTAACTGACACTATATAGTGTGATCCCCGACAATTTTGGAAGGCCCTGCTGAAGTAGGGATCAATCTTGGAGTGTCTAAGATTGAGTCCACTCTGGGCTGTTTGATAACTCCCTGTGCGTTTCTGTTAGCCAGCCTGCTGCAGGTTGCATTTATGGATGTACAAAGTCATATTGTCTGACAAGTGTTTTCAGTCCTCTACATTTCAAGGATGACTTGAAATCATCTTAATTTATATCTTTTTTTTTTTTTCAGGGAGGGAATCAAACATTTATTAGATATATTTATCATTTTTTGGACCAAAGTGCAGTGATTTTTAAATCTTCTTAAACAAATAACTATGAAAAAAATATTCAAGAAAATAAAATACAAATGGAAAATTTAACCATTAGATTTCTTTTTACTAATACTATATTTAGTCAGAAAACAAACAAAAAAAAATTTTGAAGTGTTACTAAAATGCTAACCAATCATTTTACCGTCAATCTAATACACACACTTCAAGGTTCCACTGCTAAGGAACACATGTCATTAGACACAGTCCTTGCTCCTTACCCTCAGATTTTTGTCAGAATAAAGCTGACAATTCTTCCAGGCTCTGAACCCCGCCGTACCCTCATCCTCATCCCTGGAAGTAAAGAATATGCCCTATCAAACAACTTTGTACAAGTTGTGGTACAACATAAAGCCTACGTTTCTTTATCATTCTGTAGGAAATGGTCAGTTATTTGATAAATACTAAAACACTTCTAGGAATTCATTTCATGAGTTTGTTTACCAAACACATTGTGCAAGAACTGACTACACAAAAAGTTCCTTTGGAATTTGGTCCACAAATTCACTTAGCAGGTCGGAAATTTAAAACCTGCAAGAAAGAGGGGAAGAGGGTATCCCTACACCTAACATCTTGTAATTACTAAAGGGATGTACACATACACTAAAAAGTTTTGCTCACAAAAAGGCACTAACTATAAAAGGGATATTCTTTTCGAATAAAAAGAACTAGCCGATATTCTTCTGTTTTGCGAGCACCATAGCTAAGATAAATTAAACCCAAATTCACTGTCTACCCCTAAGACCAAAAAAAAACTGAAGATAAAAAAATGTAATTTGTCTTTCTACATACCTTCCCACCATTAACTGAGATGTAATTACTAAAGGTTAAAATCGCCTTTAAAAGGGTTTGTGATAGCAGCTATCAAAGCAATATTCAAGCATGATATCTAGGATGCTTTCAGGTTTAGAGTTAGCCTTCTTTGTCAAAAACCTTCACAACTCCATCAAAAACTTCATCAACAGATTTAGAAGCATCTATTTTCTTTACTTTCCCCATTTCTTCATATAGGTCAATAATTGGTTTTGTTGACTGAAGATAGGTTTGAATTCTCTTGTCCAAGCTCTCTCTGTTGTCATCACTCCTGCCACTACTCTTCCCCCTCTCGAGACAGCGTTCAATACAGATCTCATTATTACAGTCAGAAAACAGAACAAAAGATACATCTGCCTTCCTATCCATGGTCTTATTCCACCCTTGAAGGTTATCTTGGTTTCATCAATCAAGAATTTATTCTTCTGTGCGTTGGCAGCCATTGTCTGATCCATTTTCCTCTTTAACAAACTGATGGTTATCTCAACTGGCACTATCTTTCCATCTTTAATGTACTTCTCAATGAGTTCACCATACTGCGAATCTGGGTTTTTCCTTTCATCACGAAGAAGTTCTCCTGCAGAAAGATGTATATAGCCATATTTCTCGACAATGCGGGCGCACTGGGTCCCCTTGCCGGCGCCAGGACCGCCGAGGACAAACACGACCAGCGGCTTCATGAGGCGACGAGGACAGAGGAAAAGCGGCCGGCGAGTCAGCAGGGGGAAGTCAAGGCCCAGGACGTGCAGCAGCCGGCGGCCGCAGCAGCGGCTCAGCAGACACCTCGGCTCTCCGGGACGCTGAGGGAGCTGACAGCCAGCGGCTGGCCACAGCGCGGGCCGGGGCGGGGCTGACAGAAGGGGGCGGGCCGAGCCGGCGCCCGCAGCCCCCCTGCAGCGGTGGCTTCCCTGGCGTCCTTGCCACGGCCCTTAATTTATATCTTTTTTAAAAAAAGATTTATGCATGCAAGAGCTGTGGTGTTGGCCAGAGGGGCGGGGGTGGGGGTAAGAGGATTCACCAAAGACAGAACAGGGAGCAGAACAGGTAGATTGATCAAGATACACTGCTGAGGGGAGCAGTGGGTGAGATGGGAGAGGTCTGCTTGTGCCATGTGGGTAGCTCCCTGGCCAGGGATGGAATTCATGCTTCAGTGGATGTGGATAGCTTCATAATGCTGAAACCTAACCCCTTGCACCACCATGGAGGACCCATCTTAATTTTTTTTTTTTAAAGATTTACTTATTTATGCATACAAGAACTGGGGTAAAGCCCAGAGGTGTGAAGGGTGAGAGGATTCACCAGAGACAGAGTGGGGAACAGAACAGGCAGAATGACTTAAATACACTGCCTAGGGGAGCAGCGGGCGAGACAGGAGAGGTCCGCTGCGCCATGTGGGTCACCTCCCTGTCTGGGCTGGGGATCGAACTCATGCTTCAGAGGCTGTGAATTGCAACATAGTGCTGTGCTTAACCCCTTGTGTCACTAGGGAGGCCCAAGTTCACTAGCGTTTAATATTTCTGTAATGTACAACCATTACCCCCTTCTAATTTTTTTTTTTCAAAGATTTATTTACTTATGTATACAAAAACTGGGGTTTAGGCCAGAGGTACGGGGGATGAGAGGATTCACCAGAGACAGGGTGGGAAACAGAACAGGCAGATTGACTGAAATACATTGCTGAGGGGGAGCAGAGGGAGAGACAGGGGAGGTCTGCTGCGCCATGTGGGTCACCTTCCTGGCCAGCCAGGGATTGAACTTATACTGCAGTGGCTGCAGATTCTGTCATAGTGCTGTGACTTAACCCCTTGTGCCACCAGGGAGGACCCCCTTTCTAGATTTTTTCATCTTCCCGAAATGAAAGTATGTACTAATTAAACTCTAGTTCCTTCTCTCTCCTCCTGTGCTGCTGTCCACCTATTTACTTTCTACTTGCATGAATTTCAGATCTCTAGAATGTCGTAAAATGGACTCACATTCCATCTCTTCTTCTGTGTCTTATTTTACATAACATAATGTCTTTAAGGTCCATCCATATTTTAGTATATGTCATTATTGACTTCCTTTATAAGGCTCAGTAATATTCCTTCATGTGTCTATACCAGTTTTATTTCCCCATTTATCCATCAATTGATGCTTCCTTGATTTGTCTTTGACTGTAGAGAATCATGTTGCAGTGACCATGAGTGTGCACATATCTTTGCAAGTCCTGCTTTCACTGCTTTTGGATGAACACCCCAGGATCTTGGGTCCTGCTGTAATTCTGTGTTTAGTTTTCCCAAAAATTACCTTATCATCTTCCCTACTGCCTGCATCATCTTATGTTTGCCCCAACAGTGCATCAGCGCTCCAATTTCTCAGTATTTTGCCAATTCTTCTCCCCCCCTTTTTTTTTAATTAATAATTTCTTTTTTTAAAGATTTTATTTATTTATTCATACAAGAATTGGGGTACAGGCCAGAGGTGTGGGGGATAAGAGGACCTACCAGAGAAAGAGTGGGGAACAGAACAGGCAGATTGACCATAGTACATTGCTGAGGGGAGCAACGGGTAAGCCAGGAGAGGTCTGCTGCATGTGAGTTGGTTGCTCTCTGGTTGGCTGGGGATCGAACTCGTGCTGCAAAGGCTGGGAACAGCTTCATAGATTGCGTCTTAACCCCTGACGCCACCAGGGAGGCTCTTTATTAATAATTTCTATCGTAGTAGCATCTCTTATGCCTTTATTTTCTTTTCCCTACTGACTAGATTGAGCATTTTAAAGAGGTTGAGCTTTTTTATGTGCTTATGAGCCATTTGTATATTGGATTTTAGAACTGTATTCACCTATTTCTTTACTCACTTCTTACAGATTCTTATGTACCACTTTAGGTTCACTGAACAGTAGAGCAGAAGGAACAACCCCATAAGTTGTGTCTTAACTCCTTGCGCCACCAGAGAGGCCCTGGAGAAAGTGTTCTTTGATCTGACCCAACTGTAGGTCATCAAGTTTATTAGATATTTCATTTTTAATCAATAAATTTGGCATAGTTTTAACCATCATTTCTCAAAATTATTACTACGTTTCATACTTTCTTTTTTTTGCCTTACATTTATGTTTGTCGAAAACTGACATGACAGGGCCTCCCTGGTGGCACAAGGGGTTGTCGCAGCAATATGAAGCTCTCCGCAGCTCGAGTTTGATCCCCGACCAGGGAGCTACCCACGTGGCGCAGCAGACCTCTTCTGTTTTGCCTGCTGCTCCCCTCAGCAATGTATTTCAGTCAGTCCACCTTTTCTGTTCCCCACTCTGTCTCTGGTGATTCCTCTCACCCACCCGCACCTTGTCCTGTTCTTTTTTTTTTTTTTTTTTAAGATTTTTTTATTTATGCATACAAGAACTTACCCTCCGCATCTCTGGCCTGTACCCCAGCTCTTGTATACATAAATAAATAAATCTTAAAAAAAAAAGAATATAATCACATAACATTCTTCATTGCTGGAATGAGTTTGTATTCTAAATGCAGACTCACTTCATTTTCAGATCTTGAATACTTTTACTGCCTGTCTCTTCTCACAGCCCAGACACACGACCCAGACAGAGTGCTCTTTGCAGTTCACTTACCATGGTGTCTTTTATTTTCTCGCATGTTGACTTCTCTTTCTCTTTTTTTTTTTTTTAAAGATTTTTTTACTTATTTATGCAAGAACTGGGGTACAGGTCAGAGGCATGGGAGGGTGAGAGAATTCACCAGAGACAGAGCAGGGAGTCAAACAGGCAGGCAGACCTAAGACACTGCTGAGGGGAGCAGCGGGCAGGGCAGGAGAGGTCTGCTAAGCCATGTGGGTTTCTTCCTGGCTGGCTGAGAATCAAACCCGCGCTGCAGAGGCTGCGGAGAGCTTAACAGCACTGTGCTCAATCTGCTGCGCCATCTAGGAGGCCCCCCACTCTTTTTTTTTTTTTTTAATGATTTATTTATACATACAGCAGCTGGACTGTCCAGAGATGCGGGGGTTGAGAGAATTCACCAGAGACAGAGTGAGGATCAGAATAGGCAGACTGACTGAAATATACTGCTGAAGGGAGCAGCGGGTGAGTCAGGAGAGGTCTACTGTGCCATGTGGGTAGCTCCCTGGCCGGCCGAGGGTTGAACTTGTGCTGCAGTGGCTGCAGACAGCTTCATAGGTTGCATCTTAACCCCTAGTGCCACCAGGGAGGTCCTGGTCATGGTTTTAATATACCTTCTATACGATAGTATTCCTGGTATGTGTTTATTCTCATATCTGCTACTCAGGTTGTAAAATATTTGAGAAGGCAATTTTAATTAATTGTTTTATTTTTAGCATTTATGAAATCTCTGATTTCTTTGAGAAGCTGTAAAACTACTTTTTAGAGCTACTGAGTTATTAAAGATATAGATTTTTCTTCTGTGAAATCTGTATCACTGCATAGAGTACAAAGGATAGTACATTTTTTATCAGGTAAATGAGACTACAGAAGAATGAGCTCTCAGACTTCCTATTGTCTGACCCATGCTGATGCCTTGAATTGAGAACTGTGCCATTACAGGGGATGGTGTCATTTGAGGACGTGGCTGTGAACTTTACCTGGGAGGAGTGGTGGGACCTGAATGATGCTCAGAGGACCCTGTACTGGGATGTGATGCTGGAGACCTATAGTCATCTGGTGTCAGTAGGTGAGGAAACTCCCTTTTAACTCTCTAGTGCATGCTGTGTTCTCTGCATTGATAAATGTATTCTTGCTTATGGAATGGAATGTTCTTTAGGTTTTTTTTTTAATTTTTAATTTTAATTTTTTAAGGTTTATTTATTTATGCATACAAGAGCTAGGGTACAGGCGAGAGATATGGGGGGTGAGAGGATTCACCAGAGACAGAGTGGGGAACAGAACAGGCATATTGACTGACATACATTGTTGAGGGAACATCAGGCAAGTCAGGAGAGGTCTGCTGCACCATGTGAGTAGCTCCCTGACCAGCTAGGGATTGACCTCGTGATACAGAGGCTGTGGATAGCTTCATAGTGCTGTGCTTAACCCCTTGCACCACCAGGAAGACCCAAAATGCTGTTTAGTTTTAAGATTGCAAGCAAAGTAGAATGTGGGTGTTCAACCATACAATATAAGTTTGACATTGGGGCCTCCCTGGTGGCACAAGGGGTTAAGACGCACCCTATGGAGCTGTCTGCAGCCACTGCAGCATGAGTTTGATCCCTGGCTGGTCAGGGAGCAACCCACATGGTAGGGCAGACCTCTCCTGTCTCACCCACTGCTCCCCTCAGCAGTGTTTCAGTCACTCTTCCTGTTCTGTTCCCCAATCTGTCTCTGGTGAATCCTCTCACCCACCTCACCTCTGGCCTGTACCGCAGTTCTTGTATGCACGCATAAATAAATAAATCTTTTTTTTTAATGGGCCACTGTGGAGGCCCATAAATAAATCTTTTAAAAAAAGAAAGTTGGGTCATCCGCGGTGACACAGTGGGTTGAGCGCAGTGCTTTGAAGCTGTCCACAGCCTCTGCAATGCTGGTTCGATTCCCAGCTGGCCAGGGAGATTCCCACATGTTGAGGCAGACCTCTCCTGTCTCACCTGCTGCTCCCCTCAGCAGTGTACTTTTGTCCTTCTGCCTGTTCTACTCCCTGCTCTGTCTCTGGTGAATTTTCTCACCCACCCGTGCCTCTGGCCTGTACCCTAGTGCTTGTATAAATAAATAAGTCTTTTAAAAAAAAATAAGTTTGACAGTGGCTATTCATTGCACAGCCCTTAAAGCGGTGCTTTTATCCTTTTTGAAGATCAAAACTTAAGACATTTGGGGCCTCCCCGGTGGCGCAGCGGTTGAGCGCTGGGTTGCGAAGCTCCCCGCGACCTCCACGGCGCTGGTTCAATCCCCGGCTGCTCCCCAGCCACAGGTGGAGGGTCCCACATGGCGCACAGACCTCTCCTGCCGCCCGCTGCTCCCCTCAGCAGTGTGCTTCGGTCCTTCTGCCTGCTCTGCTCCCCGCTCTGGCTCTGGTGAATTCTCTCACCCTCCCGCACTTCTGACTGTACCCAGTGCATGTATAAACAAACAAACAAACAAATAAATAAATAAAACACGTGCCTCTTTAAAAAAAAAAAAAAAAAAAACTTAAGACATTTGGTCAAGGCCAATGTTATCTCTCCTTACAGGGCTTTATGTTAACAAAGCAGAAGGGATCGTTAGGCCGAAGCAGGGAGCGGGGCAACGGACTGTAGAAGAACCCCCAGAGCAGAGCCTCTCAGGTCAGTCGGAGCGCACTGGTCAGGGAGGAGGGAAGAAGACAGCCACGCGCATAGTGGCCCTCCTGAGCTCCTTGTCCCCCTGTGCAGACCTTAGGACAGTTTTATTACATTTCCAAACATGACTCTTCCTTGTAAATTCCCCCTCATTTTTTAATGCTTATCAGTTTTCTCAGAGTTAGGCAACTGCCTCTTCTAGAAACCTTTTCTTGGTTAGTCACTATTTCGGGATTCCAGTTTTACTTTTTTCTTATAGTTTTCCATGCTTTTTTCTTTCAGTCAAATATTTGCTCAGACATTTGATTCTTTCAACATGTTCATGGGAGTTTTACACATTCATGTTTAGATTTTGTGCATTCCCTAACAGTAGTTAGGGAAACATCCTTTGCATTGTTGAAATTATATTGTGTGAGATGGAAAGTGAATTAAATACTGAGATAAATCCATGGAGTATGTTTAACCAGCATGATAGAGAATCATGGAAGGTGTTATTTTAGAAATTCTATTTAGAAGGCACAGTTCTGATGAGTTAGTATTTAAATGTTGAGAGTTAAATATTAAATAATGAGGTAAAGGTAAAGAGAATATTTATTCAGGATGGGAGAGAAACATGGAGAGTCTTACTTTACAAAGTATGCTGAGAAGGCAGTGTTCTGGAGATGAATCTGTTTATATCACAGAGCTTAAGTTTGAGATGAATGTTTTTAATTTTGACATGTATTATCTATAGGTGCATATACACTGGGGGTAGAGGTTGGATATGGCTATTATGGATATAACTGAATAGAAGATTAACTTAAGAATTAGGATACTGACTAGGGAGTTATTTCAGAACATGAATCAAGGTCCAGGGGCATTTCCCTGTGACACTCCATTTCAGAAATTGTGAGTTGGGGAAGACCCAGTAAACTGTTCAGCACGGCAAGGGATGGTCTGTGACACGGGACTAGACACTAGCAATTGTGGTTCCCCAAGTCGTGGAACCAAGAGTTTCAGGTAAGGGGCTCATGCCTGCGGGATGGAGCTTGTACAGTACAGTTTCACCTTCTGTTGCAGGAATATTGGGAAGAAACAAAATAATGAGAAACTTATGAGTCTCCATTTTAAGTGTATGAAACAGCTGAAACTAAACTATGAAATAAAAATCTTTAGAGTCTGTGAATTACCAGTAGATATGTGTACCAAGAAGTGGATGAGAATACAAGAGTGTTGTTCTCAGATGATTGTAGAGAAATGCTTTTCAGTGCTTGGGGTCATAGCTTGGAAGCAGAACCTCTGTCTTGAGATCAGCAAGGAAAGGTTGTATAAAAAGATGAGCCAGGGGCCTCCCCGGTGGCGCGGCAGTGGAGCGCTGGGTTGTGGGGCTGCCCGCGGCCTCTGCAGCGCCGGTTCGATCCCTGGCTGCTCCCCAGCCACTGGAGGAGGGTCCCACATGGCGCGCAGACCTCTCCTGCGCCCCTCTGCTCCCCTCAGCAGTGTACTTCGGTCCCTCTGCCTGCTCTGCTCCCTGCTCTGGCTCTGGTGAATACTCTCGCCCTCCCGCGCTTCTGACTGTACCCAGTGCTTGTATAGATAAATGAGTGAATCTTTAAAAAAAAAAAAAAAAGATGAGCCAGAATTTCCTGTATCTATTATTGTTCTAGCGGTTGTGATGTATTGTTAAGTAGGAATTTCCAGAACCGTGGCTTTTTCTGTTGTGAAGGAAATACCTAAAGCGTGTGCACAGGAGAAGTAGAAATTAAAGAAATGTGTAGGGGTAAGATTCTTGTCTCTAAGCCATACTCTTGCATATTGACAGAAAAATGGCCCTCTGTATAGCCCTTGATAGGTGATCCAGAAATATCATGCCATTTGCAAGGTTTTCTTATTCAGAAAATACCAGCAAAAAGTATACAGAGTTCCTGTAAGAAAAAAAAATAGAAAACTTGCTAAATGGTAGGAGAAATGCTTCTGGCTGAAATCTACATGTAGAGTGTAGTGACTATATTTACCAAATATTTCCTTCTGAATTCAAAGAGTAAAACAATATGAAAAATGTCGCTTTTTTGTCAACGTGGTTTGGCATTAGTCAATCCACTAATGTAATTCATTACATGATTTATTAGTTTTAGAAATGATGAATCATAACATCAATACTACTTAGTGTTTTGAAATGGTGTTGTAGAAAATTTTTGCATCTTTATATTAGCATTTAACAGGAAATGCTTAGATGTTCATAGGCATGGTTATTTCTATCTCGTTTTAGATGTTCGTCCTGTGGATGACCAGATTAAGACCAGCCAGCAAAATTGGGGGAGACATCTATGGCAAGTTCCAATCTCCAACAGCAAGACTTCCTCTAATGAGATACATTACTTAGGGAACGGGTATGAGTGTCAGAGTACCTGTGATACGTCAGCTCTCATTGTCCAAGATGGAACTCAAGTAGGGGAGATCCCCTATACATGCGATGAGGAGGAGAAACCCATCTATGAGAAACCAACACATTTGAATCTTCATACATATTTGGGAGATGAACAGTACCAATGTAATCAAACTGAGAGTTATTTCAGCAATAAGTCACTCCTGGCTCAGCTCCCGAGAACTCAGTTTGGAGAGAATAATTTTGAATATCTTGCATGCAGTAATATATTCTGTACGATCTCTGTTCTTCCTAAACATCAGAAAACACAAACAGGTGATCCACCTTATGAATGTTACGAAACCTCTGAGATGTCCACATTCAGAAGTAGTCAGCAAGCTCTCACTAGAGAGAAAGCCTTTGGCTATAAGGAAGGTAGGAAAACTATCTGCCACAAGTCAGCCCTAGGTGTACATCAGAGAACTGAGGCAGGTGAGAAACTGTGTGGCTGTGAAGAGTGTATGAAAACATTCTGCAAGAAATCACCCCTCACTCGATATCAGAGACCTCACACAGGAGAGAAACCACATGAATGTCCAGAGTGTAGAAAATGTTTCCCCTGGAAAACAGCTCTCATTATACATCTGAGAACTCACACAGGAGAGAAACCATACAAATGTCAAGAGTGTAGACAATCTTTCTCCCAAAAGGGAGATCTCATTGTACATCAGAGAATTCACACAGGGGAAAAACCCTATGAATGTCCAGAATGTGGAAAAACTTTCTCCCGTAAGTCAGCACTCACTGACCATCGTAGAATGCACACAGGAGAGAAACCCTATGGATGTCCGGAGTGTGGACAATCTTTTTCCTGGCGGTCAACTCTTATTAAACATCAAATAGCACACACTGGGCACCCACCTTATGAATGTCAAGAATGTAGAAAAACTTTCTACCGCAAGATAGATCTTACTAGTCATCAGGGAACTCACACAGGAGAGAAACCCTATGAATGTAAAGAGTGTGGGAAAACTTTCCGCCTGAAGGGAGCTCTCACTAAGCATCAGATAATTCACACAGGCGAGAAACCCTATGCATGTAAACAGTGCGGGAAAACTTCCTACTGGAAATCAGACCTCACTAAACATGAGAGAACTCACACAGGAGAGAAACCCCATGAATGTGAACAGTGTGGGAAAGCTTTCTGCCAGAAGGGAGCTCTCAGGGAACATCTGATAACTCACAGGAGAGAACACCTGTGACTGTTCAAAATGTAGGAAATGGTCTCCCTGGTGGCGCAGGGTGTTAAGATGCAACCTGTGAAGCTATCTGCAGCCACTGCAGCACAAGTTCCATCCCCAGCCAGGGAGCAACCCACATGGTGCAGCAGACCTCTCCTGACTTGCCCCCTGCTCCCCTTAGCAGTGTGCTTCAGTCAGTCTGCCTGTTCTGTTCCCCACTCTGTCACTGGTGAATCCTCTCACCCCGTGTACCTCTGGCCTTCACCCCAGTTCTTGTATGCATAAATAAATCTTAAAAAAAAAAACTTCAGCGTGTCCTTCCAGATTGCTCATTCCTTTGGTTTATTTTTTTTTTAAGATTTATTTATTGGGCCTCATTGGTGACACAGGTTCTTATATGCATAAATAAATATTTTTTTAAAGATTTATTTATACAAGAACTGGGGTATAGGCCAGATGCGCGGGAGGGTGAGAGGATTCACCAGAGACAGAGTGGGGTACAGAACAGGCAGACTGATGAAATACACTGCTGAGGGGAGCAGCGGGCGAGGCAGGAGAGATCTGCAGATTCTTGCCGGCCAGCAGGGATCGAACTGGCACTATAGAGCCTGCGGACAGCTTCACAGTGCTGTGCTCAACTGCCTGCACCACCATGGGAGGCCCTCCTCTAGTTTCTAAGTGCAGTTTTCCTCTTGGATTTGCCTTGGGTGCCAAAGGGAGAAGCAGGGATATAAGATGGGTTGATTGGGGAGCACCATTTTCCTACCTACCTCGACCATCTCCACTTGGACTTGTTTGAATGAGAAATACATACACACACACATACATATGTTTTTAATTTTTTACTCATTTTTGTGTGAAAGAACTGTGGTGTCAGACAGTTTGCTCAGGGTGAGGAGGTTCACCAGAGACAGAGTGGGGAGCAGAACAGGTGGATCTACTGAAATACACTGCTGAGGGGAACAGAGGGTTCAGACAGGAGAGGTCTGCTGCTCCATGTGAGTAGCTCCCTGGCCAAGGATCAAACTTGTGCTGCAGTGGCTCCAGATAGCTTCATAGAGCCATGTCTTAACCGCTTGTGCCACAAGGGAGACCTCCTCTGACTTATTTCACTGAGCATAATCCCTTCCAGCCCCATCCATGTTGCTGTGAATGGCATGAGTTTATCTTTTTTGATGGCTGAGTAGTATTCCACTGTGTATATAAACCAAATTTTCTTGATACACTCATCTGTTTTGAGGCATTTAGGTTGTTTCCATAGTGTAGCTAATGTATATAGTGCTGTCATGAACATAGTACTTCAGGTTTCCTTTAGAATTAATTTTTTTTTTTAAGATTCATTTATACAAGAACTGGGGTACAGGCTGGAGGGGGTGGTGAGAGGATTCACCAGAGACAGCAGGGAGCAGAACCAGCAGAAGGACCGAAGTACACTGCTGAGGGGAGCAGTGGGCGGAACAGGAGTGGTCTGCCACGCCATGTGGGTATCTCCCTGGTTGGCCAGGAATCGAACCGGCACTGCAAAGGTTGGGGACAGCTTCACAGCACTGTGCTCAGCTTCACAGCACTGTGCTCAACCCGCTGCGCCATTGGGGAGGCCCCTAGAGTTAATGTTTTTGTGTCCTTTGAGTAGATTCTTAGGAGTGGAATTGCTGGGTTATATGCTAGATCCGTTTTTAATAATTTGAGTGTCCACACAGCTTTCCATTGTGGTTGGACCAGTTTGCTTTCCCACCAGCAATTTAAGAGGGTACATTTTTCTCCACATCCTCACCAGCATTTGTTGTTATTTTTTCGAACAGTTGTTGTTTAATGTGGCCATTCTCTCTGGTGTAAGGTGATATCATTGTGGTTTTGATTTGTATTTCTCTGATTACAAGTGATATTGAGCAATTTTTCATGTGCCTGTTGGCCATCTGTACTTCTTCTTTGGAGAAGTGTCTTTTAGCTCTTCTGCCCACTTTTTGATTGGATACATTGTTTTGCTTTTGTTGAGTTGTAAAAGTTCATTTTCGATCTTTGATATCAGTCTCTGCTCAGTTTTGTGGATTGCAAATGTTTTCTCCAATTTGTATGGTGTCTCTTCATTTTGGTTATTGTCTCTTTTGCTGTACAGAAACTTTGTAGTTTGACCTAGTCCCAGCTGCTTCACTTTCTTTGCTTCCGGGGATGAGTTGGTCTTTGTGTATGGTGGAAGGTAGTAGTCTAGTTTCTTTTGCATGCAGCTGCCGCGGACCAGCACAGCAGTAGACGATGAGGCCGTCTCAGGGTTGAGAGAAGCGCGCAGGGTGGTCAGGGAGTCGGCGAAAGAAATGACAAACAGATACACTTCAAGAGAGAGTGTTGGGCCTCCCCGGTGGCGCAGCGGTTGAGCGCTGGGTTGCGAAGCTGCCCGCGGCCTCTGAGGCACCGGTTCAATCCCCGGCTGCTCCCCGGCCACTGGAGGAGGGTCCCACATGGCGCGCAGACCTCTCCTGCCGCCCGCTGCTCCCCTCAGCAGTGTACTTCGGTCCTTCTGCCTGCTCTGCTCCCCCCTCTGGCTCTGGTGAATTCGCTCACCCTCCTGCGCTTCTGACTGTACCCAATGCTTGTATAAACAAAACAAAAACTAAATAAATAAAAACATGCCTCTATTAAAAAAAAAATAAATAAATAAGAGAGAGTGTAAATCTGAGTGCAACTTTATTTGAGTCAGTGGTCAGTATATATATGTTTTCTAAAAGCATAGGAACAGTGAACATCAACGCAATCAGCTTGCTCATAGGTTTAGCTTATCATTGACAGGGCAGTGATCTATGTCCAAAATACATCTGGACCTAGCCGCATTCCTAAGTAGACAGGCTATTAACTTTCTTTTGTTCTATATAATTATATTCTTGTTGTACTAACTACTACTACTACCTACTCATGTTTACTCATAATTAATTGTCATGGGTGAATTTATATTATAATGCAGTTAATATCAAAGGTACTAAAGTCAAGCACATAATAGAAAGATTATTAAACCAACAATTCTATTATAACACAGTGTTTAGTGATGTTTCATTTGCATTAGCCTAATTATTAAATTACGTATGTTTTAAAATTAGCAACCAATGACCTGAAAAAGGAAAGATTTTAGAAAGACAGTTGTAGCAGAATAAGGTTTGTGGGTCTTGAGAAAGTGAGATAAGGTTCCAGGTGGTCAGCATTTCTTTTATTCATCTTTGTGGCGGCTTCTGGTAGTTGTTATCTCTTGGCAGGCATTCGGCTTCTCTGCATCTTAGGGAGTTTGCTGTTCTCCCCCTGCGCGCATGGTTCCTTGCCCATGCTGGACCTCAGGGACCATGGCAACAGCCATTAGCCCTGAAGGTCACTGCAGGGGGAGGTGCAGCATGCAGCAGTCCTGTGTTCCCAGCACTATTTATTGAAGAGACTGTCCTTGTCCCAGTGCATATTCTTTGCTCCTTGGTAGATTATTCATCCATTTATGTGTGGTTTTATGTCTGGGTTTTCAATTCAATTCCATTGTTCTCTGTGTCTGTTTTTGTTCCAGTATCATGCTGTTTTAATTATTATTTGATGCCAACTTCATTAAATGGCATTAACTTCATCCATGTACTTGTCTGAAGGACCCATTTTTAAAAAAGATTTATTTCATTTATGCATACAAGAGCTGGGGTATAGGCCAGATGTTGCAGGGGGTCGTGTTGAGAGGATTCACTAGAGACAGAGTAGGGAACAGAACAGGCAGATCTACTGAAATACACTGCTGAGGGGAGCAGCGGGTGAGACAGGAGAGGTCTGATGCTCCATGTGGGTCAGCTCCCTGGCCGGGGAGCTGCAGTGGCTGCCAGTAGTTTCATAGTCCTGAGACTTAACCCCTTGTGCCACCAGCGAGGCCTGACCTTCCCATTTTGAATTACTCATTTTCTAGATACCATTCACTAGGATTAGGGTGGAATGTACTGAGAGATGTGCGTAGTCATCACATTTAATCTACCATCTTCCCCTTTTCTTCATTTCTCATTGCTGTATTTTGCTTTGGAAAATGAAAGATCGATCTCACTTGTTTACTGAAGATAGTAGCTTCTGCAAGTGGATGATTTAATATATCAGTCCTTTGTCCAGAAACTTTCCATGGGTCCTGTTTTTATGGATATAGCATATGCTGGATATTTGAGAAAATAGTCAAATTTCTTAGAAATAAATCTTATAGATTAATTATGGGATTCATGCACTCATGTATTTTAGAGTCATTTCACTTTCATTCTCCACTTTTTTTTTTAAAGATTTATTTTTGTACAAGAACTGGAGTACAGGTCAGAGGGCGGGAGGGTGAGGAGAACAGGTGGATCTACTGAAATGCACTGCTAAGGGTAGCAGCGGGCTAGACAGGAGAGGTCTGCCACGCCATGTGGGTCACCTCTCTGGCTGGGGATCGAACTCATGCTGCACTGGCTGCTGACAGCTTCATAGTGCTAAGGCTTAGGGCCTCCCAGGTGGCGCAGCGGTGGAGCGCTGGGTTGCGAAGCTGCCCGCGGCCTCTGTGACGCCGGTTCTATCCCCGGCTGCTCCCTGGCCACCGGAGGAGGGTCCCACATGGCGCGCGGACCTCTCCTGCCGCCCGCTGCTCCCCTCAGCAGTGTACTTCGGTCCTTCTGCCTGCTCTGCTCCCTACTCTGGCTCTGGTGAATTCTCTCACCCTCCCGCGCTTCTGACTGGACCCAGTGCATGTACAAACAAACAAAACAAATAAATAAATAAAAACATGCCTCTATTAAAAAAAAAAAATCTCATAGTGCTAAGGCTTAACCCCTTGCACCACAAGAGAGGCCCCTCGTTCTCCACTTTTTCAGTGCATTTAAGAAAAAGAAAAAAATGGGGCCTCCCTGGTGGCGCAGGCAGTTGAGCACAGCGCTCTGAAGCTGTCCGCAGCTTCTGCAGCGCGGGTTCAATCCCCACTGGCCTCAGAGCAACCCACACGGGGAGCAGACCTCTCCTGTCTCCCCGCTGCTCCCCTCAGCAGTGTAGTTCAGTACATCTGCCTGTTCTGCTCCCCGCTGTCTCTAGTGAATCCTCACCCTCCCGCACCTCTGGCCTGTACCCCAGCTCTTGTATAAAAATAAAATCTTTAAAAAAATAAAAGTGGAGGCGCAGACTAGAAGTGGGATTTTGAGATTGAGGCCTATTGTAGAGAATCACAGTCTTTAACAAATCAACCAAGTCACACTCTAGAAGTAACTGAATTAACGGCAGTTAACAACTTCACAAAGGAGTGAACCCCTCCCCCAAAGAACAACAGTTTATCGATGTAATTTCCGCCTTGGCAAGAAAGCAGCTCTCCTGCCAGCCCGTGGCTCTGCAGTGTCCCAGGCCTAATCGCTCACCCCCCGCTTCCTCCCTGTGTCCCCAGTGAGCAGGATCTCCCTTCACCTGCAGGGACAGGCCACTGAAAACTGGTGGACAGTGACCTCAGAACGCCCACAAAACAGGATGGGGGCGGGGCTGCACATGCGCAGAAGAATCCAGACGCCCCTTCCGAGAGTCTGGGTGGAGCTGGGCGGCCTCCTGAGGCTACGTTTCCCACAGCCCTCGTGTTGCCTGCTGCTGGGAAGAAGGAGTTCCTCCCAGGTGGGTCTTGATGCCTGATTCCCCACAGGGAGGGTGGCCATTACAGGTGGGCGGAGCCTTTGGGAACTGTGAGGGACAAGGGGAACTGCATTGGGGCAGCCCAAAAAGGAGGCTTATCTGGTTTTCTCCAAGAGAAACAAGTTCCTCACTCCCTCCTCCTCCTGTGCTTCGGGAGCTGCTTTCTTAGGAGGGTGGTGGAAGGGTAGAAATAGACCGAAGGGGCATTAGGGGCGGCAGGGGCCAGTCTCCACGCGGTGCAGATCCAACCAATCGTAGGGCGGTATCTGAAGATCTCTTTGGGAGGCTGGCGTAGGTTGTCTCTTAGCTCCGAGAAGGAACCCGAGGTGGCCACTTTCCTCTCTTCTCCTTCATGTGGTGGATAGGTCTTCTCTTTGACCTATATATCTCTTTTTCCTTCCGTTTCTCTCCCTTACTGAGCAAATGCCCCCACCAGGCAAAAGACTCCTTTGCCCTTGCGGCTTTAGTTAAGATCACCCACTGTTCTTCCCCTTTGTCTCACCTGTTGATGAACCTAAAACTCCCTCCAGGTCATATTCTGGGCTCCCTCTGGGAGGTGAAGGGCCTTGGTGCTCATTCCATGCAGATTCAAGAGTGATCCGGTGCACATGGACCCCTTGCAGAGATGTTGGCCCCCCAAAACTTGTAATTAGTGGTTCTGTTCTCCACCTTGCTACTGTCCTGTCTCCTGTAAGAACTCCCTCTGTGCCATGCTTTCTCTCTAAGAAAGTGTGCTTCATCCAGCACCCCCTCCATACCACTGCCACTGATGTGGAAGTACAAGCGTCTCTGCTTAACCACAATATTTGAGCCTAAAAACTGCCCAGTGGTTCATTAGATTTCAAAAACTGAATGACTTCCCTGATTCTCAGAAACCCACCACATTTGCAAAGGCCCATCTGTCACACTTGTTCATTAGATACCATGATTAGTTGCCTAGGGCCTTGTAGGGATTAAAGGCAGTGTCCTGCAAGTTTTGTCAGCACAAATCAAGAGCTCCCCACATTTGCTTTCACTAGGTCTGGCTTCATCTCTGTTAGGACACCCTAACAATGCTTTGTCTTCCCCACTCAGTGCTAATACCTGCAGTCATCCACCAGCCCACAATGTGCTTCACTCTTATCTCAAGTGACAGAGCAGGATACTGTCAATGGACCGTTATTTTTTTTCTAAGGATTTATGCATACAAGAACTGGCCAGAGCTGTGGAGGGTGAGATGATTCACCAGAGACAGAGTGGGGAACAGAACATGCAGACTGACTGAAATACACTGCTGAGGGGAGCAGTGGGTGAGTCAGGAGAGGTCTGCTGCGCCATGTGGGTAGCTCCCTGGCTGGGGATCGAACTTGTGCAGCAGAGGCTGCCGATAGCTTCATAGGTTGTGTCTTAACCCCGGGCCATCCATGCCACCCTGTTTCAGTGTATTCTGTATCCTATTGTACAGAGCAGAGGTTGCATCCATAGGAAATCTTAAAGCTACATTTCCCCTCTCACTCTTACCTGAGTGTCTACCCCATCCCATCAGGAATCTGAGATCTCAATGCCTCCCCTGGAGATCTGTGACAAAGGAATATTTTCAATATCAGATGGTTTTATCTCTAAATCCCAGGAGACATCAAAACTTTAAGTAATCATAACCCAAGGATAAGAGCAATTGGGACTCAGACACAGTGACAAACATACCTCAGGTTAGCCAGGGAAAAATTCTGCTTCTCTATAGGCATATCTCACCTGCATCTTTGAGTCAGGTGGTTACAGTTGGTAGCAGGTAACATTTCATTCATCACACATTAATCTTTTCACAGTAAAGAAAAAGTTTTATTAAAGTACATAAGTTCACATAAGATTTAAATAAACATATTGTGGTATGATCTTTGGTCAAAATATAGAATAGAGGCACAGAGGATATCTCCCATCTCACTCCTGGCTCCCTTGAAGGGTATTTCAATAAATCTGCCTTATCTGTTCTCAAAAGACACACACACACACACACACACACACACTGCATTACAGGCATTCAAGAAGCATGTTTGCGCATCAACATAATGATCTAGTTGTTACTGGCATGGTTTTCAAAGCCATGGAATTCACTGAGGTGAATTATTTGGAAAATATAAATGTGAAAAATGCATGCCCTTTATGGAAGTTTTATCTACAATTTTCCTGAATACCTATACCCATGAAGATCACTATTTCAGCCACATCAACAGATATTCATGAATTCTGTCTTTTGTAATTATGAAGATATAGAGTGTCTTAATGTACTACCATATTTTTCTTAAAGGGTAGTTGGTAAAACTTTTTGAAATTTAGTATGTTCCTCTGTATTAACTAAATGCAATCAAAGATGCCCTAAACACTTATTTCTTGGTGACATACCAGTTTTAGATAAGTATCTCATCTTAGATTTTTCCTCATATAATGTAAATTAAAGTGTTTCTTTAACTCTGATGGGGTAGTGGATATCAGTGAATTCTGCCAAATACAGAAGGGCCTACCAAGTCTCTGAGACAGCAACAGTCAAACACATGACTTCCCATATATACAAGGAATGAAAGCATAGCCTAATGTCATCAGGGAGTTGAAAAACATTAATATTTCCTTTTCAAAACACTTCAAGCAAGGTCAATAAAAATAAATACATTGAAAAATCATACCTGTCCAAACATCCAACCCCATGAAACTTGAAAACATGCATAACAAAAAAGTCATCTAAGTAACTTTGGATGTTTATCCACCTAAATACTCTGATTTAAAGTAATGTTTGCAGAGTGGTTTCGACATATTGCTCTACTGTGAACATATACTCTGACATATATTTAGACTCCCAATTACATCCACTACTGTAGTTTTTACATCTTTACATTTTTACCATTCTGAACACTGGAACCTTCTAAAGTGTGTGTCAAGGACAAGTCATTTTTTATTTAATACCTTTGCAGAGTTTCTGTCCAGTGTGTACACTCTGGTGCTGAGAGAGGATGTAGGTCCAGTTAAAAGTTTTCCCAAATCATAACATTTGCAAGACTTCTCTCCAGTGTGAATTCTTTTATGTTGAGTATGGTTTAAGGACTGCTGAAGGCTTTGTCACACTCTTTACATTTATGAAGTTTCTCCCTAGTGTGAATTGTCTCATGGTAAGATAGGCTATTTCAAGAATGTGTTACATTCATTACATCTGTATGATTTCTCTCCTGTATGAACTCTCTGATGTGCAATGAGATATGAATACTCTCTAAAGGCTTTGCCACATTCTTCACACTTGTACGGCTTCTCTCCTGTATGAGTTCTCTCATGACGATAAAGAATAGAAGAGCACATAAAGGCTTTGCCACATTCTTTACACTTGTACGGCTTCTCTCCAGTATGATGTCTCTGATGACGGGAAAGACTGGAAGAGCACATAAAGGCTCTGCCACATTCTTTACACTTGTATGGCTTCTCTCCAGTACGAATTGCCTGATAGTAAGAAAGTTCAGAGCGGTATAAAAAGGTTTTGCCACATTTGTAACATTTGCAAGGCCTCTCTCTGGTGTGAATTCTTTCATGTTGAGTAAGGTTTGAGGATTTGCTAAAGGCTTTGCCACATTCTTTACATTTGTAAGGCTTCTCTCCAGTGTGAATTCTCAGATGTTGAGACAGATGTGATTGCCGTTTAAAGGATGTGCCACATTCATTACATTTGTATGGTTTCTCTCCAGTGTGAACGCTCTGATGTACAACAAGGTATGCATACTCTCTAAAGGCTTTACCACATTCTTCACACTTGTATGGCTTCTCTCCAGTATGACTTCTCCGATGACGGGAAAGACTAGAAGAGCACATAAGGGCTTTGCCACAGTCATTACATCTGTAAGGTTTCTCTCCAGTACAAACTGCCTGATGATAAGAAAGTTCAGTGTGGGATAAAAAGGCTTTGCCACATTCTTTACACTTGCGTGGCTTTTCTCCGGTATGAATTCTTCCATGTTTAGTAAGGTACGAATGCTGTTTAAAGGCTTTACCACATTCTTTACATATGTAAGGTTTTTCTCCAGTGTGAATGTACAGATGTGCAGTAAGCCTTGAATGCCAATGAAAGCTCTTACCACAGTGTTTGCATTGGTACCGCATCTCTGCAGAAGTTATTGCCTGATATCCAGGGAGGCTGGAGCGCCAGTTAAAGACATCGCCCCCTTCTTGGCAGTTGAGAGATCTCTCTCCAGTATGCATGCTCTGATGATGAGTAAGTTCTGAACACATCTCAATTTGATTATATTTCAAAACTTGATCATCATTTTCATATCTGTGGTTTTCAGAAGTATTTGGATTAAAGGTGAATCCCATTCTACATTCTAAACTGTTTGAATGATTATATGCAGTAGAAACCAAGTGACTTTCCAGATGTTTAAATTTTCCATTCAGGGTATGTGTATGGCTGAAAAATTCCAGTGGGTCTTTGCTTTCAGTTGCACATGGTTCTACAAAAGTATCTGACTCCAAGTGGGGTTCCCAATGGAACTTACATATTTGAGTTCTTTTGACAGAAAGGAAATTCTTATGGGTGAGTGTTCCAGTTGGGTTGTGACCAACTTCATGGCAAGCACTCTGACCGTCACAATCCCAGTCTCTTAGTTGGTGTAAATTCCCAAGATCCCTCCTTCCATGTCTTCCTAGTAACTCTTTATGTAATAAATAACCTGTGCCTGACTGTGGCAATGAGACACAGATGTCATGAGACAAAGTAGCTGAAAGATACAAAACAGTATATTATTCAGCTTAGAATACAGAGGTGAATGCAACATTAAAAGCTAATATACAAAATTAATACTGGATGAAGGGTGTCAGTGAGATTGGACTAGGAACCAAAAGGACTTCATTCCTCATGGAGACACAACTACTTCTGACTAAATTGCCTTTCTCAGAAGGTGCTCAGGCGTCACAGCATCTTCAGGCAAGGGTAGAATGAGGAAGTGCCTTGTAAAAGAGGAAGGAAAGTTAGTTACCAAGGCCAGAACACCTGCTCACACTCTCTGGCAAAACATGGCACAATTGTGAGGCTACTCCTGATCTCTATTTTCCTCCTCAAGGAAGAAAAAGAATGAACTATGTATCCAAAGACCTGATACGTCACAACTGCCTCGGAAGCTTTGTTCTGTTTCACATGACACAGAGTAGAAGAGAGTGGCAGTGCACTGTGGGTGGCTCCACAGAAGGTGCCTGCAGAGACAACAGGTGCAAGTTGTTCAAATACCAAGACTGATGTTGTACTGCTGAGGACAAACATAAGGGAGAGGAAGACATCCTCAGTTCAAAATATGAAATAAGGAAGAAATTCAAACTGGCAATTAAAAACAAAATCACAGGGCCTCCCTGGTGGCTCAAAGAATTAAGTCTCAGCACTATGAAGCTGTCTGCAGCCACTGCAGCGAATTTGATCCCCAGACAGGGAGCTGACCCACATGGAGCAGCAGGTCTCACCTACTGCTCCCCTCAGCAGTGTATTTCAGTCAAACTGCCTGTTCTGCTCCCCACTCTGTCTCTGGTGAATCCTCTCACCCCCCACACCTCTGGCCTGTACCCCAGTTCTTGTGTGCATAAATAAATCTTTAGAAAACAAAAACACAGAGAATACACATCATTGGAACAGATTTGGGGCCACTCTAGTCCCAAGACTGCCTACCTGTGTCTATGTCGGTGTCTCTCTCTTTTTTTTTTTATTTTATACAAGAACCAGGGTACAGGCCAGATGCATGGGAGGGTGAGAGGACTCACCAGAGACAGAGTGGGGAACAGAACAGACAAACTGATGAAATACACTGCTGAGGGGAGCAGCGGGTGTGATAGGAGAGGTCTGGCGCGCCAGGTGGGACCCCTGCCGGCCTGCGGGGATCGAACTGGTGCTGCAGAGACTGTGGACAGTTTCACAGCGCAGTGCTCAACTGCCTGCACCACCAGGGGAGGCCCAGTGTCTCTTTCTTAAACCTACCCCTTTCAAAAATGCTGCTTTCCTGCCCACATGTGACCATGCAGGTTTTTTTTTTTTAAACTGTATTTTTTTTAAGAGATTAGAACTGGAGTACAGGCCAGAGGTGCAGGGGTGAGAGGATTTACCAGAGACAAATTGGGGAGCAGAACAGGCAGACTGACTGAAATACACTGCTTGAGGAGAGCAGCAGGCAAGACAGGAGAGGTCTGCTGTGCCACATGGGTTACCTCCCTGGCTGGGGATCGAACTCGTGCTGCAGTGGCTGTGGATAACTTCATAGTCTGAGACTTATTCCCTTGCACCACCAGGGAGGCCCTATGCAGGTTTTTGTTTTCACAAATCTTTTCCCTTTGCTGCTCTTTCTGCCCACTTGTGTCAGTGCAAGCATCCTTTTTGTTCCTTTCCTTTTTTAATATATAATAAGCCTGACCTTTTGGATTTAAAAAAAAATAGATATTGAAGATCCAGTATTTCTAGCAGAGCTGACTGGAATTGGTGTCAATCTGTACCTAGTGAGCACAGAAAGATGAGAAACAACCCAGTGTTGTAAATGTCAAAATCTCAATACTAGATCACAGGCATGCAAAGGAGTAGATAAACATGGCCTAGCAAAGGAACAAAACAAACCCAAAGTATCTAAAATTAAGGGTCACAAATATAGAAACCAAACATTGCTGGAAGTGAAGCAAAAAGCAGACACCAAAACAATATTAAGAGATGTCAGGCGCTCAATCACAAATGCATAGAAAACAGACACAAGTTCAGTAAGAATGAGGCCTAAAAAACATTATGGGTTACTACGTGTAAAAGGGACATGCAGATGACTCAGACTTCACTAGAAAATACAGTATTTTCAATTAGATATAAAATATCTTCCATTATAGTTGGCCTACATAATGAGTCTTAAATTTAAAAAGACTGAAACCACACAAGTGTTTTATTTGACCCAAATCAAGTGAAACCGGAAATCGACAGAGAAATTTAAACTGAAATTCCATAATCTAGAGAAATTTGAGTAACAGACACCTGAAAAGAGATTAAAAAAAAAATCAGGAAGGAAATCACAAAGTATCTTGAGCCAATTCAAATACAGGAACTGTCAATTCCTGCAGTTCAAGAGTGTTTCATCTGCATGAGACAGAATATCCAGAATCTTATAGTACTTAGAGAAAGTAATAGCAAGAGTGATGTTTAGCACAATAAGCACTTACATACCAAATAACGGAGATCACAAATAAAATTACAAGTCAAGTAATTAACAAGAAGAAAAACGCAAGTCTAAAATGTGTAGAATGAAGGAAATTTTATAATTATGCAGAAACATAAACATTAGACAATGACAAAAAAGTAAAGTGTTGATGAAAGGAAGTTACTTTTTATTAAGATATCTATAAAACTGGTAAACAGTAGATTAAGCATGAAAGTGAGAGGAGACAAGTAAATTCAGCAGTGAAAGCAAACACACTAGAAATGATGCCTTAGAAATGAAAATCAGGAGTGGGGCCTCCCTGGTGGCGCAAAGGCTTAAGCACAGCACTGTGAGACTATCTGCAGCTTTTGCAGCAGGAGTTCGATCCCTGGCAGGCCAGGGATCTACCCACATGGTGCAGCAGACCTCTCCTGGCTCACCTGCTGCTCCCCTCAGCAGTGTGTTTCAGTCAGTGTCCCCGTTCTGTTTCCCACTCTGTCTCCGGTAAATCCTCTTATGCCCCCCATACCTCTAGCTTATACCACAGTTCTTGTATGCATAAATAAATAAATCTTTAAAAAAAAAAAAGAAATGAAAATCAGGAGAGGCAAAGATGAACAATTATATAACAACGAACTGGGTATCAAAAAATGTGTAAACTTCTAAAATGATACAACCTACCTAGACTCTATCATGGAGAATTTATAATCACAACACATATAAACTAATAAGTAGTCTGAAAGAATAATCAAGAACCTTCCACAAGGAAAAGTGCAGGGCCAGCTGAACTCAAGAATAATTTAAATATACATCTGAAGAAAAAGTATGTCAATTGTCTTGTAATAATTCCAAAGCGGGAAGAGGAGAGACATTTACAAAACCCCAGCAATGAGGCCAGCTCTACCTGGTTATCAAAACCACATGAAGACACCAACTAAAACACCAAGTAAAATTACAAACTCCTACCCATGATGAACAGATGCATAAGTTCTTGATAAAGTACAACAAACTACGACTCAAAAGTACATTTAAAATATGCACTGTGAACAAAGGGGAATTATTCCTGCAATTCAACTATTTCATCTGAAGAAAATAAACAAATTTACAGCTTTACATTAAAGAATGATGGTTGCAAAGCATGAAACTGATGTTGAAAATGAATTTCATAATTACCAACACTGTTCCAGACAAAAGTAGTAAAAAAGGAGGAAACAAAATCCCTCAACATAATGAGAGACTTGTATAAAGAACCTAAAGTTAACTTTATATTTACTAGAGGAAAAGTTAAAGCCATTTCTTAATAATCAGGAAAACGGCAGTGATACACCCTTCACCCCTATCCTACAACATGTCACTGAATGAAAACAAAATTAGGGCCTCCCTGGTGGTGCAGCAGGTTGAGCGCAGCGCTGTGAAGCTGTCCACAGCCTCTGCAGTGCTGGTTAGATCCCTGGCCCGCAGGAAGCAACCCGCATGGCGAAGCAGACCTCTCCTGTCTTGCCCACTGCTGCCCTCAGCATTGTGTTTCAGTCAGTTTTCCTGTTCTGTTTCCCACTCTGTCTCTGGTGAATCCTCTCACCCCCTGCATCTCTGGCCTGTGCCCCAGCTCTTGTATGCATAAATAAATAAATCTTTAAAAAAAAGAAAAAAAAGAAACAACAAAATTAGCATCATCCACGTTGTGGATACAAAACCAACACATAAAAACAACGGTGGTTTCACAATGAATAAAAATATAATAGAAATTAAATACTTCTTTAATAGAAGCTATAAAATATTATAAATGAAATTAAAGCAAGAAATAAGTGTAAAGCTATCAAATATCTTAGACTAGAATACCTTATTAAGCTGTCCATATTGCTCCATGTGACATAAAAATTCAATATAATTTCTAGCAAAATCCCAAGGACACATCTGGCAGATAGAGAAAAACCCATCCCCAAATCCATGGAATGGCAAAGAAATGTAGCTACCTGAACAATCTTGAGAAAAGTTGGTAGTAGAACAATTACTAATTTTGAAGTGAATTGCAAAGGGAGAGTTAATAACAAAATAAGTATGAACGTAAAGACAGACAAATAATAATGAGACACAATAAAGCACCCAGAGACAATCTTGCAATCAAATGTACAGCAACAGGGGTGTCCATACCATACACGGGGAAAGGACAATCTTTTTTTTTTTAAAAAAAGATTTATTTATTTATACATACAAGAACTGGGGTATAGGCCACAGATGTGGGGGATGAGAGGATTAACCAGAGACAGAGTGGGGAACAGAACAGGCAGATCGACCAAAACACAACTGCTGAGGGGAACAGTGGGTGAGCCAGGAGAAGTCTGCTGCGCCATGTGGGCATCTCCCTGGTCAGGGATCGAACTTGTGCTGCAGCGGCTGTGGGCAGCTCCATAGGCTGCATCCTAACCCCCTGTGCTACAGGGAGGTGCCGAAAGGACAATCTCTTAAAGATCTTGGGATGGTTGGAAGGCCACCTCTGAAAGAATGAAATTTAACCCCAATTTAACACCACACGCAAATATTAACACAAAATAGATTGAGATATAAACCTAAAAGCTGTAACTGTAAAACTCATAGAAGGAAACATAGCAAAATAACTTCACGATATGCAATTTGGAACTGAGTTGTTGAATATGACACCCAAAGCTCAGGCAACAAAACTAAAAACAAGAGAATTACATCAAAACAAAAACTCAAAATCCCAATTTCAATAATGAATACATAAAAAATAGTTTCTAGGGCCTCTCAGGTGGCGCAAGGGGTTAAGATGCAGCCTATGAAGCAATCCACCGCAGCCACTGCAGCACAAATTTGATCCCCAGCCAGGGAGCTACCCACATGGCACAGCAGACCTCTCCTGCCTCGCCCACTGCTCCCCTCAACAGTGTCTTTGGTCCATCTGCCTGTTCTGTTCCCTACTCTATCTCTGGTGAATCCAATCACCCCTCACACCTCTGGCCTGTACCCCAATTCTTGTATGCATAAATAAATCTTAAAAAAAAAAGACAGGGCCTCCCTGGTGGCACAAAGTGTTGGGACACAACCTATGAAGCTATTTGCAGCCAATGCAGCATGAGTTTGATTCCCAGCCAGCCAGGGAGCAACCCACATGGCGCAGCAGACCTCTCCTGACTCTCCCGCTGCTCCCCTCAGCAATGTACTTTGGTCAATCTGCCTGTTCTGTTCCCCGCTGGGTCTCTGGTGAATCCTCTCACGCCCTGCACCTCTCGCTTGTACCCCAGCTCTTTTTTTCCCCCCCAAATTTATTTATTTATTTATACAAGCACTGGGTACAGTCAGAAGCGCGGGAGGGTGAGAGAATTCACCAGAGCCAGAGCGGGGAGCAGCAGGCAGAAGGACCGAAGTACACTGCTGAGGGGAGCAGTGGGCGGCAGGAGAGGTCTGCGCGCCATGTGGGACCCTCGCACGGTGGCCAGGGATCGAACCAGTGCTGCAAAGGCTGCAGGCAGCTTCACAACCCAGCGCTCAACCGCTGCGCCACCGGGGAGGCCCTGTACCCCAGCTCTTGTATGCGTAAATAAATGAATCTTTAAAAAAAATGATGGAACTAAAACTGAGGGTGGATTAGGAAATCTGGAGGGAAGTTGTCCTCACCCAAGAAGACCAGGTTGCTGTAGTTCTCCAACATCACATCCCAGTATAGTTCCCGCTGCGCCGGGTCCAGGCATTCCCACTCCTCCTGGGAGAACTCTATGGACACATCTCTGAAGGTCAACAGTTCCTGTGAAAAAATTCAGGAAAATGTATTTACAAAGATCCACCCCAGCATTTGTATTTAATTCCAAGTTAAACAACTGAAAGTGGGCCTCCCTGGTGGCACAAGGGGTTAAGTCTCAGCCTATGAAGCAATCCGCAGCCACTGCAGCATGAGTTCAATCCCTGGCCAAGGAGCTGTTCCCCTCAGCAGTGTATTTCAATCTGCCCTTTCTGATTCCCGCTCTGTCTCTGGTGAATCCTCTCACCCTTTGCACCTCTGGCCTACACCCCAGCTCTTGTATGCGTAAGTAAATCTTAAAAAAAAAACAAAAACCAAAAGTCAAGAAAGTGGTTCCAACTGAATGATCTGAATTATCCAACACGATAATTTTATTTTATTTATTTATTTATTTATTTTTTTTTTTTTTTTTTTTTTTTTTTTTTAATGTATTTAAAAGCTTATTTATTTATTTATACAAGCACTGGGTACAGTCAGAAGCGCGGGAGGGTGAGAGAATTCACCAGAGCCAGAGCGGGACAGAGCAGGCAGAAGGACCGAAGTACACTGCTGAGGGGAGCAGCGGGCGGCAGGAGAGGTCTGCGCGCCATGTGAGACCCTCCTCCAGTGGCCGGGGAGCAGCCGGGGATCGAACCGCTACAGGGGCTGCAGGCAGCTTCGCAACCCAGCGCTCAACTGCTGCGCCACCGGGGAGGCCCTTATTTATTTATTTATTTTTAAAATAATAAATTTTATTTTTATATTCCCCCATACAATTGCAAACGCCCCATTCTGACCCCAATCCTTCCCCTCCCGCCCCCCACCCCCCAAAAAGTGTCTCTGGTTCATAGTTTTTTCTTGATTTTGATTTTCACTTTCTTATATTCATTTTCCTGGTCCCTTATTTAAGTTTTCTAGATTCCTGCTATGAGTGAGACCATCCGGTATTTTTCTTTTTCTTTTTGGCTTATTTCGCTGAGCATGATCCCTTCCAGCACCATCCATGTTGCTGCAAATTGCATGCAACACGATAATTTTAAAGCAAAAATGTCTCTAATGTTGCCAGTGAGCTCAGGAAAGAGGAGGACATAGCATCTATACAAATACTGTAGACACTACAATTTTGTGTAAGATAAAATACAAAATCAGGACATCATTGTCATATTTTTGAGTGCTGTTATTTTGATCTTACATAAGTTGTGTGCATTTCTCAGATGGGAAAGTCATCATGAGTTAGTAGCAAACTTCGATAAGTTTTTTTTATAAAGATTTTTTTAATAAAGATTTATTTATACAAGAATTGGGGTATAGGCCAGAGGGGTGGAGGGTGAGAGAATTCACCAGAGACAAAGCGGGGAGCAGAACAGGCAGATGGATGGGAAGCACTGCTGAGGGGAGCAGCCGGCGAGACAGGAGAGGTGTGCTGCACCATGTGGGCGCTCCCTGACCGGCCAGGAATCTAACCGGCACTGCAGAGGCTGCGGACAGCTTCACAGCGCTGTGCTCAACCTGCTATGCCACTGGGCAGGCCCCAAACTTATCAAGGTTTAATGTGAACAAACATTATATGGAAACCTTATTAAAGTGCACATGCTGGTCCAGGAGTTCTGGAGAGCTGAGTTAGTCCCTCCTCACAGGGTCACCAGTGATGAAAAGGACTCTCCTTCAAGGACAGTGTTTTAAAATTAAAAAGTAAGTGAGCAAAAAGAAAATACTTTAAGCATTTAAAGTAAAGATTTATTTATGCATATAGGAACTGGGGTACAGGCCAGAGGTGTGGGGGGTGAGAGGATTCACCATAGACAGAGTGGGGAACAGAACAGGCAGACTGACGAAATACACTGCTGAAGGGAGCAGTGGGCGAGACAGGAGAGGTCTGCTTTGTCATGTGGGATTCTCGCCGGCCGGCTGGGATCGAACCTGCACTGCAAAGTCTGTGGACAGCTTCACAGCGCGGCGGCGCTTAACCACCTGCGCCACCAGGGAGACCCTGTAGCAGTTTTTTAATGAAATACTGTGGTGCAGGCCATGCTACCCAGGCTGTCTGGCAAGGTCCAGGCATGGGGGAAATTTCTGAAAAGTCAGAAAGCTCCATAGCTGGCTCCTGCTACTTCCTTTTATTTGTTTGTGCCAGTTATTGAAACCATGGAAATTTTCTATAAGTTTTAGAATAACATCAATGCCAGTTTCGGTAATGCACACCTCAGTAGTTTAAGAAAAGTACCTTCCAACATGATTGATAGTGAAATAGTTTCCAATATTCCTCCATGTCCTCCAATTTATAATTCTGTTACTATGAGTAACACTGAGTTCTTTAGCAAGCCACACTTGATAAAGCTCTTAGAATCGAGCCCTGCAAAAGTCCCTCACAACAGAAGGCCCTGAGTTGCCCCGGGAGGTGAAATGGTCCGAAAGAAACACACCACATGTTGTTCCCATGGTATCAGGACCCCTTGGTTCTATACAGGAAATAGAAGGCCGCCCTTGATTTTACAATGCCTGCTTAGCTTTGTTGTAGTTACCTAGCTTGAACGTATGAATCACTTTGGTATAGCACCTGTTTCTATTTTCTGAGTAACATACATCACCTAGGGAAATAATATAACCAAGTTAATGTAACCAAGTGACCAAGTTAATCATAGACTGGGAAAATTAAAAAAAAAGGACTGTGCACTGTTAATGATCATTAATAATTTCTGAAACAATGTAAAAGTAAAATCAATCATGATTGCCTCCCTGGTGGTGCAGCGGTTTGAGCGCAGTGTTGTGAAGCTGTCCGCAGCCCCCACAGCATGGGTTCGATTCCCAGCCAGCCAGGGAGATACCCACATGGTGTGGCAGACCTCTCCTGTCTTGCCCGCTGCTCCCTCAGCAGTGCATTTCAGTCAGTCTGACTGTTCGGTTCCCTGCTCTGTCTCTGGCGAACCTCTCACTCTCCTGCACATTTGGCCTGTACCCCAGCTCTTGAATAAATAAAATAAAAATCTTAAAAAGAACTCCAGTCATATATCTGTAATCTTTTTTTGTATTTGAGATAGGAAGTCTTTCTGTAGCTTTCTAGTGAGCAAGTCTCTTTCTTACCCACAACTTTCTGTATTATTCTGGACAACACATCCATTGCTTATTTGTATGTGTGCATATGCCTTAAATTTACTTCACTGATGTGCAAGGACCTGACCCCATTACCAAAGGAACCCTGAATAAATATGCACATCCAGGTTGATCTTTAAAGGCAAGAGATCATTCATTTGTGGCAAGAATTCTCATGTGAAATAAGACGTTAAGACAGGGAGAATAGAAATGATTCTGGAAAATAGTAAGAAGTGTTCTAAAGAGCTACGCTTGACTTTTGTAAGAAAAAAAATGTAGGAAACAAAGTTGTGACATGGTGACCCCAGAATGAAAGGTTTCTAAGTTCTTAAGTGTGTCTCATTTCAGGAGGAAAAGAGAAGACAGCCCCTGACCTGGGACATGAGACTTACCTGACAACCTGCCATTTCTTCCTCTCTCTCCTTCTGATTCCTTAGGACACAGTATGTGGAGAAATCACACCTGCAGTGGAGAATAGTCTGTCAGTCACTGGAAGAGGGTATTCATCTGCTCCCACTACAGCCACAGGCAGAAGGACCTGGGACACAGATGTCCTTTGTCACAGGAGAGATTCAGGTACAGTGAGCTCTCACATGGAGACCTATATGTAAGTTTCTCCTGCCCTGTCTTCAGGGGCCCCCCTGCTTCCACAGATGCCCACAGTTTCTGATTTGGCATCAAGGATGGGAGCAGCACCTGCCCCTACCAACCCATATAGAGCGGAACCTGTCGCCACCCCTGCACCAAATGCTAGGCTCAATCTCATGAAATATCTGATCAACTCTGATCTCAACTAAGATTGACTAAGAATACTTCATAATTAATACATTGTTGTAGGGCCTCCCTGGTGGCCCAGGAGGTTGAGTTTTGAGCACAGTGCTGTGAAGCTGTCCACAGCCTCTGCAGTGCCAGTTTGATCTCCCAATCCACGTGGCGCAGCGGACCTCTCCTGTCACACCCGCTGCTACCCTCAGCAGTGTATTTCAGTCAGTCTGCCTGTTGTGTTCCCGCTCTGTCTCTGGTGAATCCTCTCACCCTCCCGCACATCTGGCCTATACCCCGGTTCTTGTATAAATAAAATACATTTTTAAAAAAAGCCCACAGGAACCGGCAGACTGATGAAATACACTGCTGAGGGGAGCAGCAGGCCAGTCAGGAGAGGTCTGCTTCGCCATGTGGGATTCTTGCCAGCTGGCCGGGATCGAACTGGCGCTCCAGAGGCTGTGGACAGCTTCATAGTGCTGTGCTCAACCGCCTGCACCACCAGGGGAGGCCCAAGTTCCTTCTTAGTGTTGCTGCTCCCTCTACACCCACTATCAGCTGCACTAAGGTAGAGACAGCACAGCTGGGCCTCTCACCCCCACCATCTCTCTCAACACTGAACTGTATCTGTGAAGATCACCAGTCACCATGCTGAGAGATCATATCTGTTATTGGGTGTTTAAAGTTTACAAAAGCTGAGAAGGCAGTAATATCTGAGCAAGTCTGTCTGCAAAAGGTGTACTTTATCAATGCAGTGTTTACTGAGGAGAAAGGAAATACAGGGCCGTAGTCCAGGGAGATTGTGTATTGTGTTTATGTAAGAGGCACTATATGTTTAAAATGCTGGCAAAGGGGAGAGTAGGGACTTAAGGGCTCAACTGGTGACAGGCAGTGCATTGAAACCCCACGTGCACTGAGAAGCTAGTTCTTCAGTGAGTCAGATGTATGTTTTCTGTGGATTTTGCAGTTTGCCATTTGGTCTCAGGTAGGTGGTAATTCATATAATAATTTTGATACTAAGATGGCGCCCTTTCTGTGCCTGCATTCATCCTGTTGGTAGCTATCAATTATGATGATAGATTTAGAAATTTAATCAGTGTAGATGCCCTGACTGCCTTTAAGACGGCAGTCCCTGGACAGTGAATTTAATTGAAAGGAAGAACAACTTTGTTAGGAAAGTTCAGTAGACTGCTTTGCTGTTAGACCAGGAACAAGGGAACAGTGACAAATATCAAGATACTTTTGACAAATGCCGTGCCACAGCTAAATTATACAACATGAGACATGACAAACTCTTGCCAGGTAGAAACAAAATTATTTTTTATTTCAGAGCATTAACTTCCATCCTAACTTTAGTGATTTAGTGTAATTCCTGCAAATGATGCATGGTTCTCAAAATATATTAAAATTTAAAAGGCATTCACACAAAAATGAATCTCTAGGGCTTAAAAACTTGCAGATTTTAGAAATTTCAGTTGTAGGTTTTTTAATTGATTTGAGAACATTTTAAAATCAAAATAGCATCAAATATATTCAAACCTGAAATCTATCATCTGATATTGACATAGTTACCTTTTCCTTAAATGCTGTTTCCTGCACTTCAAGAGGGAAAAACACCATATTTAGCAGACCTCGGACATTTGAAACTCAGCTACTGCTCCATGGATGGCATCACACACCAGGAGTTAGAGAAACATTTTTATTCTAGCAAAGTAGTAATTCAGACACTCTGATTATGTGGAGGATTATATGGTCCATATAGAGTCATCCTGCTCTGGTTTACAAGCATGAAGGTATTATAAGTACATCTCTAATAATTTAGTCTAGAGCGTCCATAATATCACTAACCTTAACATTACTAATGCGCTCATTCTGAAACAAAAAGCTGAAGTCTGGCTGCCAGTTAATCTTACTTGTGAATAAATTGGAAAATCTGCTCTTGAACAAATTACCAACTTGCTCAAAAAGTTTTTGGGTGTCCTCATAGCAGCTATTATTGCTGCCACTGCTATGGCCACAATTGCCGCTACTGCTATAGTCACCCCATCTCATTCCATTCAAACTGTACACCAGATGAATCAGTATTTTCAAAATGTTACTTCTGAACTCCTGACTCAAACCACCACTGATCAGGAAATCTTACAGCGATTAGATGCCCTTGAGGCCGCAGTGTCCTGGCTTGGAGAACATCAACAAGCCCTCTGGACCCACAACAAACTTAGTTGTGATGCTGACTACTGCTCCATATACATTATACCTGTTGTTACAGGGCAGGGAGGGGGGCAGCCGAAACCCCGAAAACCTGCCTATTCATCAACACAAAATATATGACACTTTAATGGGAAGGAACTTTAATACAACTAGGAAACAATACAGGAAAGGCAAAAGAATCTAGTTTCTAAATCAAGCACCCAAAGTTACCCGTCCCCTCGTGGGTAAAACTCCATCCAAATGGGATTGGCCCAGAGCAAGGCCCCAAAGCCTGCCACAAGTCTAAAGCATCTTCCAGCGGGGACCCCCAGAAAAGGGTCAGAAACAACCAGACAAGCCCGGAAGGAAAAGAGCAAAATCAAAATCAAGATAAAAGCTGCCATGGTCACCTCCCCAAGGGTCTCACCCATATCTGTGTCACCCAGTCTACAACCAAAAGGCAAGCACAATTTCTTCACATGTCTCTTCATTCCAAGTGCCTCCTCCAGGTCTCCTCCTGGCTCTCCATCCTGCTTCCTTCCTTTGCAGTCTCCTCTGCAGCTTCTTCTCTCTGCTCAGCTCCACCCTCCATTTGGGTGGGGCAGTAACCTGGAACCTCCCCCTTTCCTGGGGAGCACCCTGTTACATTGTTCCTTGTAATAGCAAGGGAAGATGTGATCAAATTGGGTATATTATGTCTTCTGTTTTCTTTTAGTGCTAAAGGCCCTCTGCCACCTGCTCCAGAGGACTGTAAAATCTGAGGCTATGCTGACCCTTTCACAATGATGACAATATCAACCCCTTCCTGAGCCATATCCTGATTCTCCTGATTTTCCTGACTTTGACCTGTTATAAAACAAAAACAAAAACAAAAAAAGAAAGAAAATGTGGGAGCTTGTATTATTGTATGCTTCAACTATTCTTTGTCTTTGCCTTGATTATCCTTTGCTTTGTCTGTTCTGTGCCTCTCAGTGTGCAGGAACAGGGAAAGTTAATAGGGAACCACCAGGGCAAAAGTCCTGGTGTGAGGATCTATACATGCTAAAAACAGCGTGTGCAGAAACAGCGATGGGTGTTATGGCTAGAGCAGCATAACACTGAGACTTTCCTTGGCTTTCTCACTTCTCAACCTTGGCTGGTGCAGCTGGTTACACATCCCCCTCACACTTGTACATTCCCTGTTTGCCTGCTTGTTTCTTTGATTTTTTTATTTTCAATGCCACTCACTATTTTCTGTGTGTGTCTCTTCAACACCCACTCCTAGCAGCAGTTCCCGCAAATGCAACCCATTCTACGTGACCCGTCTACGCCAGGCAACAACTGGACTGGCTGAGTAGCCCTCTGGCTGCATGGGTACTCCCACTGGTGGAGCCACTAATTCTTATTTTGTTATTTTTTCTCCTTGCCCCTTGTATGCTCCAGTTCATCCAACACCGCATTCGAGAGAGAACCCGCACTACCTTCATTCAACTTGGGCTACACCCCTAATCATGCCTCCCAACCAGCGAACCTGGCCGTTGACCTTACTTCTTGACCTCACCTCCCCACACTGCCCCACATCAACAGGAAGTAGCCAGAAAACATACTTTGCCCTTTATCCTATAACTAAGAGGTCAAAATGTAAGGTTGAGGCCGGGGCAGAGACGGAGTTCAGAGTGGGAGAACTTGAAACTGCTGCCACCTGCATTCCAGGAGCTGGTTCTGCCCATCTTTGCAGGAGAGCCTGATAAGCAGCGTTGAAAAAACAACCAGTTCCGAGAGAAAAAAACTTGGAAAAGCAACTTCAAATCAGCATTCTCCACCTCCCTCCAAGGCCAGACCCTGCCCTATAAAAGCTTGCCTTTATCCCCCAGTGGGTGCGAATTCTCTGACCCTGCGGGGGTCGGTGAACTTAGTCCTGGGCACAATAAATTTCTTGCCTGTGAGAAACTTAGCCTGGCTCTCCTTTTCTTTACTGCACCAATCCTCTCACCCACAATCCTGAAGTCAACGTTTATTTTTTGTTCTAGACTAAAAACTTCTTGGATGGTGGGACCAAGAATATTTTCTCTGCTTTTCTGATGACCACATGAAATGGAAACCATCTGCTTGTCATCAGATTGCATCTCTACCTCCTCAGTGTTCTTCACCCCAGAACCAAGACACGTACCTGGGTCCATGAAGGAGACTCTGTGGGGAGGACAAGTCAACCCTGATGTCCAAACCCTCTCCAAGATGGAAGCAGGATCAGACTGTGGAATAAGCCTGATCCCATTCTGGTCATAGCACCTCTGAAGTCCCAAAGACTCCCTGTGCTAGAGAGGGTATTCCCAATGAGGCTGACATGATGCCCCATGGAGATCTAGGAGGGAGACGCTCAGTCTGAGCTGGGGCCTTATGTGAGACCTGTCCAGGTGGGCAGCCATCCTGGGCCGTAGGTATGATGTCACCTGTCCCTATCTGGACTCTTTAGAGCAAGCATATTCTACTAAGTGACACAGTTTACAAGTAGATGTAGCTGTGGTCATGGCTTGGACAATGTGTGGGATGACATTGCACAGTAAAGGATCTTCTGCCCTCCTGATGCTGCATGAAGTCAGGGCCTGGGGCCCCTGGAAGCAGAGATTTTCCTGCCTATGTTCTTTTAATCTCAGGTTTCTGCACTAAGCTTCAGGAGGGCCATTCAGAGATGCAGTAGGTACATAAAGCATGTCAAAATCCATTGTGATCCTTGTTCGAGATAAAGATGACAGGCATTCAAGGAGCATTCTGTTTCATCTATTTTTGTAATCAGTAAAGAATATACATATGAATACAGGTCAATCCTTTTTATGTCAAACAAATGTTTATCAGTTTCCTGTCCATTCTCCAATGCACTTGCTTTCCTCCATATCTGAAGAGCTTTTCCCCAAGATAGCTGCAGAATCTGTGCCCTCACCTCATTCATAGCTCTGCCAAATGTACCCTCCTTGGGGGAACCTTCCCTGATCCAATCATGTGCCATTCTAAGAACAGCCACATCCTATACCTCCTGAGCTCCTTTACCTACTATATTGGCTATATTAGCATCACTCTGCACCTCCAGATATTTAACAGACATACTTATATATGGAACATATTTATATGAAATATATATAAAACCTTAATGCTAATTGGTGCCAACTGGCACTCAAACCCATCCAGCTCAGGATGCAGAACCTAAACCCACGTAGTGCATACGATCTGCCCCGCACTATTTTGAACGCCAGTGGGGCAGCTAAGCTCTGCTGTATCTGAATGACAGTGGCCAGGTTCAAACCTGAGGCTGCTTATCCAAAACTATTGCGAGTTTTTTCCTTGAAACCAAATACTACGGTTCCAGGGGGTTGACCATCAAAGTTGGCTGTGGTGGAGAAGCCTGGATGATGCCACTCAGTGTGGGGCCCAGGTGCCTTCAGAGAACAAGAAACCCAGAGGGCCACCGCCTCAGGTCATCTTCACAGTCTGGCCCCAACATATTACCATATATATGAATTGCATATATATGAAACACATGTGTTAAGTATGTGTGTGAAACATTTATATATGAATACTATTTTCTTCTGCCAGATAACAACATTTAAAGGTTTCTTGACTTTAGAGTAATATGAAAATAGAATAAATGCTGTGTAATCTGATGAGAATATAGACAAAAAAGACTTGGGACAATATTTGAACAACATGGTCTTTAGGAAACTCAAGTTAATAGACAAGGAAATGTAAAATAAGTCAAATTAGTTAGACTAATTCTTTGAGAAATCTTAAATTTAGCCCAATGTACCATAAGCCATATGTATTCTACTTACTGTAGTGAAGGGAACTCTAAGGATCTCAAAGTAGAACTCAAAAGATCTCCTATTTTACTTGCAGGACTTGGGTGCTTTCTGAGGGCTGACTTACCCTGTCCGACATATAAAGGATATCAAATAACCCGAGAAGAGTGCTGGAGATTCCCACCGCTGGACCCTTGACCGCGGCAACCAGAGGCTTAGGAAAACCTACAAAGCAGCTTACAAAATCCCTGCAGAAACGGAAATACAAAAGCACGAATGGCTGAAGCAGGCAAGTGGAAATAAGCCTCAACTGGGTGGCTGCACACCCCCCAGGGATGCCCCTTCCTACCCCCACCAACCCCGGCACTTGCAGGGAGCCACAGAGTCCAGTAGTTCAACCCTGTTCAGATCTGGTGTTCTGGGCAGTTAAGTGACATTTAGGGATGAAGATGCTGCGTGTCACAGCTCAGTAGGAATTAAGAGACTCAGTGGACAAACTAGTCTATCGTGGGGCAGCCACTGGGGAAGCCAAACATTCCTCTGCTGGAGACTTTGCTGACCTCCGCCTCAATAGGAGAGCATTTTCTTACCCTACAGTCTCCTCTTAGCCTTCCACTCACATATCATGCAGAGGAGCAGGTAAAAGAAGTAAAAGCGATAGAATGAGTATCCACCTATTGATGCGGTTTGGAGAAACACTCTCTAAAGTCACCCCAATTTCACTGTCATAGAAGAATTTCACTTTTGCTCACCTAAACACCACTTTGTGACTAGGAATGAGGCCTCTGGGATCAGAAAAAGGTCTCCCTGCCCTCAGTACATGGCACTATTTTAGGTTCTCCTTTCCCCCACCAGGTGGCGGAAGTAAAATTAGCCAAGGCGGGCGTGGGAGGGGCCCGAAGCTTTGATCGCAACGAGGCCGGGGCAGGGTGCTGAAGTGACCAACATGTGGGGCATGGCCTGGACGCGACGAGTAGGCGCAAAGTCTGAAAGCCACAGGCCAGAGAGGCCAAGTGCGTGGGCAGCCGGCGGGGTGTGGGTGGTGAGGCAGGCACGCTGGCAGGTAGGGCGGACTGGGTCGCGGAGGGGCGGGGCCGTCAGGTGGGGCGGGCCTGGGGCGCGGAGGGGCCGGGCGGGCAGGTGGAGGCGGGACTGGGAAGCGGGGGGCGTGGCAGGCAGGTGGGGAGGACCTGGGGAGCGGAGAGGGGGGCCAGTAGGAGGAGCGGGCCTGGGGCGCGGAGGGATCAGGCGAGCAGGTGGCGGGCCTGGGGTGCGGAAGGACCGAGCTAGCAGGTGGGGCGGGACAGGGGCGCGGAGGGCGAGGCAGGCAAGATGGGGCGGGCCTGGGGCGCGGAGGGACTGGGCGGGCAGGTGGAGGCGGGGGCGCAGTAGGAGGGGCGGGGTTGGGGCGCGGCGGGGCGGGGCAGGCAGGTGGGGCGGGCCTGGGGCGCGGGGGGACGGGTTGGGGCGCGGGGGGACGGGTCGGGCAGGCGGGTCTGGGGAGCGGAGCGGCGGGGCCGGCGGCTGGGGGGGACCTGGGGCGCGGAGCCCGTTCTCCCCGTGGGCGGAGTACGAGGGGGCGGGGCTGGGAGATAAGTGTCGGGGGTTAGAGGCCGGCACACACCTGGACTTGGGCCGTCGGGCTGCGACCGCGTCCCCGCGCGGCGCGAGCGGCGGCGGTAACGGACACTCCGGACGGCTCGCGCCTGAGGCTGTTGGGGCTCCTGCGGCTGCAGGAACAGCGGGCGTCCTGAGCGGAGTCCCGTCTGGGCTCTTCGGATGCCTGGACGCCAGTTCCGGAGGCACAGAGAGGCCTCAGCGGGAGAGGTGGTGTAAAAACAAGCAGGTTATTCACCCCCAAAGACCAGGGGTCCTCTGGGGCTCGGAAGTTTCGCCGGTAGTTCCCACGCGGGACAGCGAGGGGGACCCTCCGAGCCAGTGGGTGGCGCTCACGGCCAACTGAACAGTGGCAGGTGCAGCTTTCCAGGCCCCGCCCCCTGAGCAGGGGCTGATGGGAAATAGGGGTGGGGCCCTGGCGGTGGCGGTTAAACCGCTGTGACGGCGGTTAAACGGCTGCGAGGAGGGTGTTTGCGGAGAAACTGCCTCTTGTCCGTCACGGCATCCGCTGGACCTCGGTCTCCGCTCAGCGGTGGGCAGTGGGGGTAGGAGAGACGCTAATTCGCTCCCCCTCTGCCCTCCGCCGTCCCTGTGAGCGCTGTCGCTTCTCCCCGCGCGCCTGCTTGCGACGTGTGCCGCGAGGTGCGGGTGGCGCGGGTGAAACCCGTCCTCTCACGTCAGCGCCCGGCTGCGGAGTTCGGCCGAGGCGTTTCTCGGGGCTACGGTTACCGCGAATGTTTGGGGCCTGTGGCCGTTACCTTGCCCAGCTCCGGAACAAACAAAATCATTAACCTGATGTCAAGGTGCTTGACTCAAATCAAGTCAGTGGGGCCACATCAACGCAGTGAGTTTAGTAAAGACCCGAGTGTGAGGCCGCGAATGGGGCATAGCCTTCCGGGAGCCCTAGAGAAGCTCTGAATCTTGGGTCTCAATCAGGTTTTATTCCATCATTGCACACTTTCAAGGGTTTTTACAGACTCCAGGCCGGTTAGTAGATCTATTTGATGCCTGCGTACTGAGGAAGCCGAGTAGGGTTGTTACAATTGATCCTTTTACAATTGATCCAGCGCCTTGTCCACTGGGGACCTGGGAGTGTTGGTAACATCGCAAGCCTCCAGCCTGTCTTCCCTCGAAGTTAGTGCATGACCGGGAGACAATCTTCTTCTTTTTTTAAAGATTTATTATGCGTACAAGAGCTGGGGTGTAGGCCAGAGGTTGGGGGTGGGGGGTCGAACTTGTGCTGCAGAGGCTTCGGATTTCTTCATAGTGCTGTGCTTAACCCTTTGTGCCACCAGAGAGGCCCCTGCATTAAATTATTGACTCCTATTGATTTGGACCGCTGCCCCATGGGTTTGTATTTGACCACTTGGATTTTCTCTGCCTCTGATGGAAATGGTTTGGGACTCCAATTTGTATGTTGGGCGCCCACACATATGTGCATACACACACAGAGCTCAGGCCTGTGCTGGGCATCCTTCATTTGACAATGCCTTGGCATATAGGTGTATGTCTTGGGTCTCCAGCTGGGCTGTTAGAAGTTTACTGCCTGGATTAGGTCCGTGGACGCCTGTTGTAGCCCCTCCCCCATTAGTGTCTTTGATGCATCCTCCACAATTTCAATTAAATTGAAGTATGTGGATTCATTGATAGAAAATTCATAAGTTCAGGGGCCTCCCCAGTGGCACAGTGGGTTGAGCACAGCACTGTGAAGCTGTCCGCAGCCTCTGAAGCACCGGTTTGATTCCTGGCCGGCCAGGGAGAGTCCCACATAGCGCGGCAGACCTCTCCTGTCTGTGCAGGCTGCTCCCCTCAGCTGTGCTTTCGGTCCTTCTGCCTGTTCTGCTCCCTGCTCTGTGCCTGGTGAATCCTCTCACCCTCCTGCGCCTCTGGCCGGTACCCCAGCTATTGTATATATAAAAAAATAATAATAAAAAAAGAAAATTCAGAAGTCCAGTCTTGCCAATGTAGTACTCTGGACCTGGGAGTGTTGGTAATACCGCAATAATGTAATTATTCTCTTGAATAACTTTTCATTCTAAGCATCTGTGGAATTTCATGGAGCAGAAATGTAGTGCACATACTATGCTTCCCAACACTTCAGCTCAGTTAAAATTGCAGGCAGCACTTCTAGATCTAATTGTAAAGTTTCAATTATGATTCTACTCATATGAAGTATCTGACAAGTTACATTCCCCTGGAGGAGTCACCAGACAGAAAGTAGATTACTGGTTGTCAGAGGATTGGGGAAGGGAGGATTTTGGAGTTATTTATTTTTAGAGGAGCTAATTGTTTAAGGAACATAGAGTTTCAGTTTTGTTAGACAAAAAGTTTTGAAGATTGGATGCACAACATGAATGTACATAACTACTCAATAGTACACTTAAAATGGTTAAGGTAATTTTGTTAGTATTTTACTGCAATTTAAAAAAATGATAATTACATTTCATCTATTTCCCTTAAGAAGATAGAGATCTCCACATATTATTGTCAGATGATCTTAGACCCTAAAATATATTCTCCTAACAGTTTCCATCTCATCTCTCTAATACACAGATATCTAGGACAGATGGAGTTAAAGTGTCAGTTTTACTGTCAATCACGGGAAGTTGATACAGGGCATTTAACATGATTGATATAAAAGGAATGATCTGCCATTACCCCTTGCTTCATTAAGATATTAACATCACTGGCCTCCCTGGAGGCACAAGGGGTTAAGCACCGCACTATGAGGCAATCTACAGCCTCTGCAGCAGGAGTTCGATCCCCAGCAGCCGGCCAGAGAGCAACCCACATGACGAAGCAGACCTCTCCTGTCTTGCCCGCTGCTCCCCTCAGTAGTGTGTTTCAGTCAATTCACCTGTTCTGTTTCCCACTCTGTCTCTGGTAATCCTCTCACCATCACCCCTGCATCTCTGGCCTGTACCCCAGCTCTTGTATGCATAAATAAATAAATCTTTAAAAAAATCAACATAAAAAAGATATTAACATCACTTAGCTAGTCTTGAAATTGATTGATCATTCTTCCATTACTCCTTAAGCAGACAAATTTACAAACCCTTTATTATGTGTCAGGCTACTAGTAGGCAGTTGCAGAGGACTCTCGAAGAGGTTGAGACTTTCAGGCAGAGCCCTGAGTATCCATGGAGTGATGATTTTGTTGAGATGCTGTGGAATGGCCTGTCTCTGTTCTTGCTGCTGACACAGAGAAGGGACAGTGAGATTCCAGCAGAGCTGATCCAGGAAGCACACACGGGAGGGAGTGTCATAGGGTCCATCTGTCATAACACCAGCATGAATAAGAGTTCAGTGACTCTTACTTTCAGTACCAAGTTCCACAATATCAATAAGCCTCAATGTGCCACACGTATTATCCACATTTACTATAGAGATATGCTGCACCTCCCCCTGCAGTGACCTTTAGGGTTAACCGGCCCTAGGTCCGGCTGGGCAACCAGCGTGCAGGGGGAGAACAGCAAAACCCTACCTGCTGCACCTCCCCCCGCAGTGATCTTTAGGAATGGCTTTCGCCACGGTCCCTAGGTCCGGCTGGGCAACCAGCGCGGGGGGGGAGAACAGCATTACACCCTGAAGCAGAGGAAGTTCAGCGGAAGTTCCCTGAAAAGGCAGAAGCTTATCAAAAGATAACGACCACCAAGAACCACTACAAGAATGCTAAAAATCTTATCCCGTCTTTCTAGAACTACAAACTTTAATCCCTTATCTGTCTTTCTAAACTTCCTTCTTTCTTCAATAATGGTCATTGTTTGTTATGTAGATCACCTCCCTGATGGTGATAGACTGAGCCCATGAGCAAGCTAATTTCTTTGATATTCATTCCTGTGCTTTTGGAAATCATATATATACTGGTCACAAACTCAAAGAAAATTACACTCAGATTTTCACTCTTGAAGTGTGTCTGTTTGTCATTTCTTTCGCCGACTCCCTGACCACCCTGCACGCTTCTCTCAACCCTGAGGTGGCCTCATCGTCTACTGCTGTGCTGGTCTGCGGCAGAGATAGGTACAATTATTTTCATTATCTTAGAAATCAGGAAATGACAGCACAGGGAGTCCAAGTGGCTTACACAGAGTGTGTGTCTGAACCGTGGTATTGTCTCTGCTGGTAACTCTCATGGGGTTCACAGAGCCAAGAATGTGCATCATGTACCTGGGTCTTTTTCTCAGTCTAAATTCCTCAGGTTAATCCATGTTGTAGGATGTCAGAATTTCCTTCCTTGTTAAGACTGAACTATGTTCTGTTGTGTGTTACCTTATTGTGTTTGGCTACTGTGAATAATGCTGTTACCTTATTGTGTTTGGCTACTGTGAATAATGCTGTTATGAACATAGGTGTACCTGACTTTCAATTATTTTGGGGCTCTTTTCCAGGTGTTGATTATTTTTGACTAAATATTTCTCAGTTTCCTTCCCACAACCTAAGTTATATGTTCTAATAAATGAGATAGGTAATTTCTTAAAATGTTCTGGGAAAAAAATTCCCTTGGTTTACAAATCATAGGAGTTCGTTTTCCATTTTCTACTAGAAAAATAAACCAAGACAATAATTGCCTTTCGTTGCACCTGTTCAGTTAAGAGAATTATAATAACTCACAGGCCCATACCTTCTGCCCAAGAGCAAGTCAAGGCTGTGAGTACCTCCCTGTTTTAGAGGATGTGCCACCAGCGTGAGGGCCGTTATTTAGAAATCATGGAGGGCGCATTGCAGATTACTGCACCCCCTGCAAGTAGAGGGTGGAGGCAGTGTGGGCCAGATCTGATTTTGCCTAGCTCTGCATTTGATGGGGAACTTTCAAAACGGTATGGACTAATCTTTGACCTCTGTTATCCTGCAGTTGCTTTCTCTCCAGTTAAAAGAATCAAATTTTGGTCTGAAAAGAGCCCATCTCTTTGTTTTGGAGGTCGTAAGACAAGGAGAGTTGAGTACTCTTTTTCCCTCCTCCCCTTCCAAAAGAGGAGCAAGGTGTACCTTAAAGCATGGCACATTTTATTTGAACTTGAAAGGGTGACCCAGCTGGGCTTCTGCCTGCTGAGTACATGCCTTGGAGCACAGTAACTTGGCAAACAAGCTGACTGAACTTCAGCCCCCACTTTGTTTCTGCCACAAGTGTGCATCTGCCAAAGCAGTGTGGTGAGCCGAAGTACCAGGCACGTTGTGAGACTGAATGAGCGCTTGTTCCTAACGCGAAGAGCCTACTTAGCTCAGCCAACAGCGAGGAACTGGTTGCAGAGGGCCTGCAGCGCGCAGGCGCGGGCGGGCGAGGGGCGGGACAAGAGGTGGGGCGACCCGGGCCTTCCGGGTTCCTGTCCGCACAACATGGGCTGTTGGTGCGGCTGTGGCTGCTCTTTGCGGTGGTGCCCGCGGCCCTGGCCCAGTCCAGCTTCCGCCCG